CCCTATAGTAACTAGATAAGATAAAAGGTAACTAATAGTAATTTAATAGTAATAAAACCGAGTTATATTTTATTAATAACGTATTTTAAATTGAAATTCCCAATGTAAGTATTCACTAGTAAATACCAATCTTCGGTTATCACGGCATACCGATCAGTCGGTCAGTCGATTAGTCGGCAAGTCGGTTAGGCGGCACTCTAGCAATGCGTCATTTAGGTGGTACATTGGATGTGGAAAAGAAAAATATCACTCAATATCCTAGTGTGCAATTAGCCTCGATACGAGGGAGCGATGGAGCATGCGAGATATATATCAGCCCATTATCTGTGCGACCAAGGGCCTAGACTTCACAAGGCCAACACAGCGGGATACAACTCTTCACTGTTATGGTCCCAGTGATGCATAGGACATCTACTCCTTAGTGAACCTGCGTCTGAAGCATTCACCAGTCGGGCCGGGAGTAAATGGTCAGGGATTAAAGTACATCTCAGGCCATTTAGCTAAATATTACAACCAACACGGCCAACACAACCAACTACCAACACAATCAACACGGCTGGACAAGGTTATATCGGAATGGGATAATAGAAATGGGATGACAGCTTCGAGTAGTATACAAGGTCAGCAAGAGCTTTAAAATGGAGATCTATCTCACTTTCCTCAATACATCAGATCTTTAAATTGAAGTTGTTATTATGGCTCTTTCTTATTTACTCTTGTTTATGATTTTTTTGACTTTACGCGGTTCCATTACAGTGGCTGCCAGCACAAACGATACAGACCTCATCGAGCAGCTTTTCTCGACATGTCTGTACATGACATTATCAGTTCAGTCAATAGCATTCCAGCACAACAACCATAGGCTGGCCAATATATTACCGCTATTCGGGAAAAGAGGTTCCGAGATGCTATCTAGGCGCGATATCATATAATAGGGGAGGTTAAGGATGGTATCGTTAGCGATACTAACCTCACCGTTCTTCAGAGTATCGAAGAAGACGCTATGGGCTACAAGTCTAATACCCCCGAACAATTTTCACATGCCCTGTCAGTCTACGCAAACACAAGCATCGAGGATACACATTCAGATGTTCTCCAACTCATATCAAACGCTAGAGTCGGTAATCTCTCCACCATAGAGGCTCGAATAACCTACGGCATTAAATGTAGTGACGAGCATCTTGCCTACAGAACCAGCTATTATGAGGTCCTCGAGCGTATGTCCCAAGAGAGGACACTGATCAGGGATCGAAGGTTACTCTACAGCTACATGTCCTGCCACTTAAGAGTTGGTCCTCTTGGCGCAGGAGCAGACTTGACATTTCATACTGCCCATCTTGTTGCGCGTCTGATTGAAGAACAATGTGGACGAGTGCCATCATGCTGTAATAGCGTGAAGGTTTCGGGTTACTCGCCAACCAATGCGGGGCATCGCAAAGTCTGTTTTAGTAGCAAAAGTACAGGCTGTAACTGAGCCACCTAGGGAGGGAGAATGATATTGGTTCATGTGACGCCAGGGTTGGTAGCTTCATAAACTCTTCACAGCTTAAAGTCAAGGGTTAAGATGTTGGGATTCTAGAATTGTATGGAGAGAGGGGATAAGAGGAATATACAGAGGAAGTTTGGTAGAGAAAGTTATTATTTAAGTGATTACTTTGCTCAATGAAGACACCTCAATAGATGCTGGCCTAGAACGGCCGATAACTAGGCAAAAGTGGAAGTGTGCTATATTCTTTAGAGGCAGAATACAAAGTCTAGAACTGTTGGATTTCTTCACTTCCTAGTAGATTTTCCTACATCTACTTCAGTCCTCTTTACTAAAGTATCAAATAGATATTGAACATGTTCCTCTCGAACCCTCTCAACGCTTGTACATACACGAATAGCAAACTTATCGAGAATAACGGTACTAGTAAGGTAGAACTCTCCGGCTTTATTAACCCATTCGTAGAGTTCTTCTGTTCGGGTGTTAATCTCCTTTTCGTTGTCTCCGTGGACACGGAAGGTCACCAGGCCAAAGCGCGCGGGGGTGAAGAGAGTAAATAGATCAGGTCGACTGGCCAACTTCGTCTGGAGGGATTCACCAAGCGTAACTCCGTTTCGAATGTGTGCTTGCAGTCCTCGAATTCCATAGCTACGGAGAACAAACCATAGCTTTAGAGATCGGAAGCGACGCCCAAGAGGGATCTGCCAGTCGCGATAGTCGGTGACCAGTTCATTATCAGAAAACTGATTGCGCAAGTACGGAGGCTTGATGCTCAAAGATTCAATCAGCCAGGCTCGGGATCGGACCCAAACGGCAGAGCAGTCGAAGGTAGTAAGCATCCACTTGTGAGGGTTGAAGTTGAAAGAGTGGAATTCAGCCATTGGTGTAGTCAAAGGCTGATTCTCCTCGAGCAGAAGTGCCGATCCTGCATAAGCAGCATCGACATGGACCCAGATTTCTTTCTCTGTTCCAGCTGTAGGAGTCAACGCCTCAACGATGCCAGCAAAGTCGTCAACGGCACAAACATCAGTCGTACCCATCGTAGCCGTTAAGTAGAAAGGCTTCAACCCGCGGGCCTGTAGCTCAGCTACTGTCTTGGCAACAGCTCGACCAGTCATGGCGAAACTGTCCTCTTCGGTGACAGGAATAGCAATGTAACGGACACCAAGAATCTGAGCAGCCTTTTTGGTACTTGAGTGGGACCCCGCGCTTCCCAGAGCGACAAGTTTGCTTCGCACATCCCATACAGCATCTTCGTCCATGCCCTTCGTGACGGCATTAAGATACTTGTCACGAGCAGCACACATAACAGTAAGGATAGCCTCGCTGGCACTGCCGTGAATAACGCCTCCTCCATTGGTTTTACCACCACTCAAATAGCATTCGGGAAGGCCAAGCGCTTTCGCAAGCCAGTCCATGACAATTGTTTCCAGCTCTGTAACTGCTGGGCTGCAAATCCAGTTAAAATGGGCGCCGTTAAAGGTATTCGAGTACATTTCGGCCAAGGCAGCAGGATAGCTGCTTGAACATGGAAAGAAGGCCATGAAGCGGGGGCTCGCCCAGTGGGTTATTCCTGGAAGGATTTTGGACTCGATATCAGCATGGATGTCGGTCCAGGATTCTCCTTCAAGAGGGGCTGATGATGGCAGCAAAGGTCGAAGGTAACCGGGCTTGACATCCGACACAACACGTTGCGAGGAAACATTGTCGTAATACTCGGTGACTGTATATCCGTGGTTAGTATAATAACATCCAAAATCCCTAATTCAATTTTCACAAACTTACTCTCATTAATGGCTGTATGAGCTGCTTCGCGAAACTGTGCTGAGTCCATCTTGCCTTTTTGTTATATCTGTGCTGTATATTGCCGTGAATTTGAATGTTTCGATCAGGCACAGCAATAGGAGGTTGTATTTATGTATCATTTAGTAGAGACTTTAGAATATCGCGCTCGTGTCTGATATTGCTACGAAAGGTGGGGACTGATAAAATTCGCATTCGCCGTATGGAATTTCCAATTTGGGTAAAGAGTCGAGGCAATGGCATTAGCATGTTGCCACAGTTGCAGACAACCAGTCTCTGTCCTTGCTTGGACGAGATAGAGACCCACCTCGGAACCCTCTCCTCTTGACCGTTCCGAGTTCTGAGTTCCCGAGCTTTTAGTTCCGAGGTCATAAAGCCCATTTCGATATACATTAAATACCAAGTCAATTAAGCATGGTTATTATCTAACACTATGTATCTCGTATAATACAGCCTATTTAGGCAATACACATGCGAGACATGCAGGAACTGGTGATAATAAAAGTACACACACTCCATTACAATCGCACATAATCCGGGCATACGGAAAGTAGCTTGTGCATTCCCGAATGGAGGAAATTAGGACATTGTGTTATTAGATGCCTAATTTTAGCTAGTGATGTCTTTGGACTGCTGTAGTTGGGTGTGTCACGAATTGGTATCCCGCATCGCTACAGGCGAAAGGAGCATGTTCTGTCACACTACATTGCTACTGTAATTTCTATTTGGAAGTATTCGCAGTATTGACTATCGCGAACCAATGAGACTAAGGAATTGTCAAGAAGAAGTGACAACCTCCGAATCGTTGGGACTCATAGGAATTTGGAACATCATGTGGCTATGTGGCTTTCGCCTGAGAAGGTGCATCTGGTGCAATTGCAAAAGTGAGAGTTCATGTCACAGAATTCTCTTGCATCGGCCTCGCATGAAGAAACGTGTTCGGACCAGTGAATGTCGTATATGAAAGTCATTTACCACCTGAGAGAGTCCCTGTCCGAACTGTAATACTGTCGACAGTAAGCTTGCATATAATCATGGAAGGAAATGTAACTGGTCGGACTTGTCTCGTTGTGTGTATTCGCTCGTGTCACTGGCTATGACGACGTCGGTGTGTGACGGAGACCACGCGCGATTCGCGACTCTCTGGTACGTGAGAAAACACCATAATAAACATCCTACTCATACCATTTTTCTCACATAGCTCCTAGTTGTTTAGAGATTATAGTAATTTAAATTAGCTATAGATAGAGATATAACAGATCCAATTGTAATTAAGTTTTGGTAGGGTTAATTATGAAGATCCTGATAGAAATATAGACTGAAAAGGAGGTATAGGGTAGTGAACGGGTATGATCTAGTCTTCACGCTTACTAAATTCATAATATCCTCAAGCCTATAGTAATTTTTTAAAATTCTTCGTAATCATAATAAAAAAGTTTTTTTATTAAAAACCTTGTCTATATGAAGACTGAAAGCTTCTTCAATCCAGTCTTCTAATTTCTATCCTTATTTCTCACCCCGTTCCCCAACATGAGAACCCGGCACAAAATTGGCCACTATCTTCCTCAAGCCTTATATCCAGCATCAAGACTTACTTGTCGTCCAAGTTTTCTTCTGTAGGGATTCAATTCAGTTTCAATGTTAAAACCCGGTCCTCTTCTAACGTCAGCCAATATTTAGCAATACTCGCAGAATGAGTAACATGACCAAGATGGATGCCATCGCTCAACAAGTGGACCAATGGATCAACGACGACAAGAAAGAAATTACGAAGTTTCTTTCTGCTCTTGTCCAATGCCAAACACCCAGCCCACCTGGCGACACGCGAAAGGCCATGGCCTTGGTGGAAGGCTTCCTGTCGTCTAGAAGCCTACCGTTCGAGAAAGTGACGGCTGACGAGACAATGCCCAATCTCATCTCGACTATGACAATGCCGATAGAGGGGCGGCACCTGATGCTGAGCGGACATCTAGACGTTTTGCCGGCTGGATCGGAGCCGGGATGGCTTCATGATCCGTGGAGTGGCCTCATCTCTGATGGCTGTGTATGGGGTCGTGGAACAGCTGATATGAAAGCTGGCGTCACCGTCATGCTATTCGCGTATCTCTATCTGTCCCGCTTACGTCAGAACCTGTCGGGAAGACTGTCTATTGTTCTTGCTTCTGATGAAGAGACTGGCATGGGTCGCGGAACTGGATACATGTTCAGTCAGATCCCTCAACAGATGGAAGCTGATTGTGTCTTGTCTCCCGAGCCCAGCGGTACCGAGGCCATCACTTTCTCCTCCAAGGGCTATCTCCATTTCGTCGTTACTGTTGAGACACGGGGTTCCATCGCTGGGTATCCCAACTATAGCGCCAATGCCATTCGCATTGCCACCGACATCATCCGTGACCTCGACGAGTTAGAGAAGATAACCGCCGACATTCCATCAGCCATCTCATCGAGGCTTAACGATGGTGATTATCGAGCATGGTACGATGGCATGTATGGTGAAGGTAGTGCTGAAGTGATTCCCGCTATTTCTACCAACATTGAAACTATTACGGGCGGTGATTCTCCCGCTGTTATTGCATCCAACTGCGAATTTGAAGTCACTGTCGTCATGCCCACCGGCCTTGATCCTCACGTCATCTTCGAGAAAGCCAGTGGTATTGTCTCTAGATATCCAGAAGCCCGGATCGAATTAGTGGGAGCTGACCTGGGGGACATGTCAAACCCAGACAACGAAATGGTGACTATTCTTCAGGATACTGTCACAGATCTGGGTTGGCCCAAGCCTCAGTTGGTCCCTGATGTGGCGATTTCTGACCTACGATATTGGCGATATCGTGGCATTCCAGGCTTTTGGCATGGGCTTAATGGTGAAAAGGTCAGCGCAGCCAACGAGTCTGTCGATATAGAAGAGATGCTGCATCTTGTACGAACGTACGTCCTTACATCGGCAAGATATCTCCAAGCGATTGTGCCTCTCGATGATGACATCAGCTAAAAGAATCTATGTGTTATCTGACTTAGATCTTGGGTAGCTTGACTCAAGGTCTCTCGTACGGAAAGGTAGTTGAATAGCAAAAGATTGTGATCGAGAAAACCATGAGCCCAAGTGAGCAATTTGAAACTGAGAAAGTGAGTCTTGTGGTCATAACAGTCGTTGAAACTGAGTTGTGTGGTGAACCTTTCAAGCAAAGGCTCGCTTTAACAACATGTCTTGCCTAAACTCGCAGCTTACCCTGTGTCGACGACCTTGTCGCTTGTCACGGCAGTACGGGAGATATTTAGTGTCGCTCCCCTGCCCACTCGAGAGATTTGCGTGGATAGCCAGGGGGAATCCGCATCGAACGTAGGATTTTCGGCGCTTGGGCCTCCCAAATCACACATCAGTTTGTCGCTTAGAGGATTCCCAGCATGGAGCAACAGATCGGAACGGCCTTACGTTTTGTTTCATCACGCTATTAGTTAAGAGCGTTTCTAATATGGCCCCTACCCAAGATGGAAGGACAAAAGACGGTCATTTCGTGTGACTGAAATGGCAATGATCTTCCAATGCACTAAATTGAGAAAGGAAGGTATGGGGCTCACACGTATGTCACTTGTGGACTATTAGTTCCGGACACCGGCTAACTGGGAATACCAATCACAACTGACTCAGGTGATGATGTGCGCTAGGGCTGAGCCAGACCGTACTAGAGGTCCACTAACTAGCGGAAATAAGGATAGTTACGCTCGGTCCCCTAGACAAGTGATAAATCACAAAACTCACGGCAAAAGCCTCCGGTAAATAATGTAATTACACTACATATGCAACCAGCGAGAGGTTTTACAAGGGTACCAAGGTAAGCACTTTCACATTCATGGCTTCGTTACTAAAAGACTTGACAATCGCTTCTGCTTAGACTGTTATTATGGTGCAATAACACTTCAAGGTAGCACACTGCAAGGGCATCAGTAGACTTCTAGCAATCCACTCTATTTAGTGCTTAGACGCGAGCTGCAATCCAGTCAGCCGCAGCAGGAGCATCTTGCTGGTACTGGCTATGCGCTGGGGTGATAATGATGCCGCCTTCACAGATGTTATCCCCCTGCCGGCAATAAACTTGAGTACGCGACGAGGGAATAGTGCCAAAAGGCTGGCTCCGCTTAGGGTCACCAAAGGTAACAGCTGCACAAGTATCAAGTCAGTCGAGGCTAGTGGCTTTAGTGTATCTAAATACTGACCAGCAGTGACTCGGTTGGTCACAGAGGCGGACAGCATGGCTGCAGCATTGTGCACGAGTTGTGCACCCTGACTATAGCCGCTGATGACAATCTTAGTGCTGGGGCACTGGCTGGCAGCCTGTGAGTCTTATATCAGTGCTCTGCTCTGTTTTACGTGCGTCTTTGCCTATAGACATACCCGGGTAATTAGATCAGCCATTGTCTTGCTGCCGACAGCGTCTCCTCCTGCCAGAAATCCGGCAACGTTGGCCGGATAGGCAACACCCTGGACGGCTAAGTTGTTCAGGCCAATACGGGAAGCAAGGTTGTTGAACAAGATGGGCCCAACTGCGGCCGGATCTCCTACGTTACCAGCCTGGGTAGTTCCCCGGGCGTATACCACAGTGACAGGGCGACAGGGTGTCCCGTCAGTGAGCTGGTTGTAGCTGCTTGAACTGAACTGCCTGGCCTGGAGAGAGTTGACCTCGGAGTCTTGGCCGTTCAGGTGGTGCTCAAAGTATGCTTCAAGGTCGGCAAGCGGGAAGTCATCGGCTAGTTCCAGACCCTCGATCTTGGTCTCCTCTGCGACGGGGGCTGCATAAGCAATGGCAGCAAGGGCGATGATGACCTGAGTGGGCTTCATGATGGATGATAGTTGCGTTGCTCCGACGGTGAATATGGGCCTTTCTTGTGTGTCTCTGTAAAGATCTAGGGCAGACAATTCAGTAGAGGACGTGTCCTACTTCTTATATCTTTGCTCTTAGCACATAGGCATTGTTATAATAGCTTGTGATTCGCTTATAATAGTGCTAGAGTCTATTTACACCGAAGTATGATCAGGTGCATGCGAAGCAAAAGCAACCTTCTCTTTCCAGTGATATAGCCCGTTCTCGCAGTATTATCGGAACCACGAAAGGTCATACTCTAACTCAAATACAGATTAAAATGTAACACACGTGGGCGCAAATCATGGTCTGGAACTCATTGCATTACAATTCTACCTCTACAGAGTAGTACATTTGATCTATTTGAAAATAAGCTATTTACCGGCGAATCATTTAAGATTGGAAGGTGTTATCCCCAGAACTGTTTCAGATTCTCTTAGGTTTTGCTTATTTGACAAATAGATGCGCTTGGGGTTGATTCCCCGCAAAGATGCCAAGATCTACGCCAAGTCACCTGCCGCTTCGAGCTATGAGAGCCTAGCCCGGCCATGTATTGTGTATCCTAAAGGGTGTGCTCGGATCTTAATATTCCGTTCCCTTTGTGGCAGTCTAATTGTAATATATAGAAGGATGAGAAGTGTATATGCTTTTCTTTTTACTGTAGCCTTTGACTGTACTAAGCATAGGCTTTCTAAATCTCTTTATAATATTAATTGTAAAAATTATCTCCTCTGAAGTATATACACAGTTATATAATTACACTGGAGTCTATACCTCATTTTAAAACATACAATAGGCCAATAGCAATTCGTAATTACCACAGATTACTTACATTAATAAAGAGAACTATTTCAATGACTCGCAGGATTTTTCATGTTTTTTAAAGCCAAGGCTAGAAAGCAAAGCTACCGTGTATATCCGCCAAATTCATTAGATTTAGCGTGGTGGCGCTCTAAGGCTCTGGGTTATTACCGCTGTTACCATCAATCAGTGGAGTAGCTATGCAAGAGGCTTCTCGGAGTTTTATTCCTCCAAGTCCTGCCAATCGCTGGCTGTTATAATATGTCTAACCTAGCGGGTCCCCAGTGATAGGCTCCATCACGCTAAGTCCAGTGAATTTCGCGGCTACATACCGTATGATTCAAAGACGGTGGGAATAAGCCGGCTTGAAGAGCTCAATCTTGGTGTAACATAATCTATTATCATTGGCTTATTAGTGAATTTATTATGTCGGTGTAGCAGACATTGAACTAGTGAATAAAGCTAGCATGCAATTATTCATAAACCCCATGCAGAATGAGAGATCTGCACTGCTTAGCTTCTGTTGTGGCGAATTTTACCAATTTAGTTAGGTGCAGTGACGGATCGACCGCTACCTCTACATCCATGTCAGAAATGGTCACTAGTAAGTATAGCTGTGCTGATCGCATGTGAAAGAAGCAAGGTTTACGCTCCTTCAGCTTCTGTCCACTCTTTCCTAAAGCCCCTTTCCCCTTACTTACTTCCTCTTGCATGGGAGTCTCGCACCGCCTACGGAGTACTTGTTTACCTATTTCCTTATGACTTCTATGGACGGTATTAGCTATTCATTATGGTCACCACATCAGCAGCATCAGCCATCAGCGCTATAGAGCGCACATGCTCTGTACCTAGTCTTCTTGGCTCCCTGTTTATTATCTCTACCTTCTGTTCATCCAAGCTGTTTCATAAGCCTATTAGCAGAATGCTCTTCTATGCCTCTTTTGGAAATATGATGAGCAATGTCGCTACTCTTATATCCAAGAGTTTTATTCATCAACCCGATTCTGCTGGGTGTCAAATGCAGGCATTTCTAATCGAGACGTAAGTCCTTTTATACAACGTCTGTGGTCTGATCTACTACCAGGTTACTAATTGGTTGCTAGATTTATGTTTGCTGATGTCTTTTGGGCCCTAGCTATGGCAACGAATGTATACCTCACTTTCTACCATCGATTTGACGGCGTCAGGTTACATAAAATAGAGCCACTTTACATCGCCTTATGTTACGGCATTCCTTTCATCATAGCTATCACATTCCTCTTTGTAAGGAATAAAGACGGGGCTCGCGCATACGGGAATGCGAACTTGTGGTGCTGGCTTACAGTAGAGTGGGATGCTTGGCAACTTGCCACTTATGGACTGATCTGGTAAGTTATCCCTGCTGTCCTCCGTCAATACTCGATGGCACTATAGCTCGCTCGTCACGGATAGTCTAACTCTTTTTCAGGCTTATCATATTTATAGCCTTTGCTATATATGTCCGCGCTGGGATTACGATCTATAAATGGAGGAATCGCTTGCATGGCTTCTCAAATTCGAACGAGTTGAACACTTCGTCCCAAGTCGCGCCGAACTCAGATCTCCCGGGCATTGCCAAGACCACTAAGATCACCATTACAACTTCAGAGTCTGCTTCGTCTGATCTCGGCCAGCCTTTTCCACCCGCAACTCGACCCGAGCCAGTTCATTCAGCCAATATTTACACTGGTCTTGCTCCGCCCGTAGCAAATTCTTCTGACCAACGAAACGTCACGACACAGCACTTGGATCGCAAAAGACGCAACCCAAGTGATGAGGCAGCTATGGCTTATGCCAAGTGCGCCCTCTTGTTTTTCACAGCAATGCTTATCACCTGGATTCCTGCCAGCGCGAATCGTCTGTACGTTCTTGTTAACGGTGAGGCATCCGTGAAGTTAGGATATCTAAGCGCCTTTGTGCTCCCTCTGCAGGGCTTCTGGAACGCCTTGATCTACTATTATACGTCTCGAGCCGCGTGTAAGCAGATTATTGCTAGTTTACGGACTGGATGTCGCCGCCTAGAGGAAAGCGATCCCAACGGGTCTAGCTTTGCTGACAGAATCAATGCTGCCGACATGAATAATGAACCGGGTTTTCAGTTAAGCCAGATAAGAGCTACCAAGAGGGTCCATGATTTCGGGGAGACAGAGAGCACCACATCACTAACAACGAGGGCTTAAGAATTTTACTCTATTTCAGCTTTCAACGATTAATATAATTATCGAACGTATTTAGGCCTTTAGTGGCAAATTAAGAAATTATTTACTTTTAATGTTATATCCTTAATATTATCCACCTAAATATACTTTCAAGTCCGTACATAACTACGGCTAGAAGTTATCATATAGAGATCTGCTTTCTTACATTGTTCAAACGTACAGGTCGACTCTGAAGCCCTCTAACCATTATAGATACATAGAGTATATAAACATCATTCCGTTAGTACGGGTTTAAGTTGTTTATGTCTTGCATTGTATTCAGGCCTTCCCTACGCCGCTTACATAGGACCTTTAACGTAGCTCTAATAAGTATTTATCTAAGTTCAAACGTTTTGCTAATAATCCGATCCTCCAAACCACTTAGTCGCTTTCCCTGGTTATAGTTCCATCTAAATGTCAATGACTCTCCGTTCATCATCCCGTGAACATAGCACTCCCCAACCAATCTGTAATAGTAACCCGGAGCCTGTGCGCCTTTTGAAACTGTAGGTTTCCGACCGGGGTCTGTAGAGTCGAATTCAACATGTGCCTTCTTGTTTAAGACTCTTGAAGCAGGTTCTGGGTCAGATAACGCTGCACGCTTTCTTGACCTTTCGGTATCATTCTGGGGGAAGGTCTTGTCTGGTTCTTTGGCTTTGTCAAGTCGCTTGCGGCGTGCCTTTGCTGCTAAATTCTTTGCAATGTACTCAACAATGTTGGCTTTTCGGATTTCGTCGTCTTTTAGTTCATTCTCAAGATCTTCCTGACTCTTTTCGACTTTCCGGAGAACAACAGGCACACTGCACCCATAGAGGATGCATATCAAATCCCCTTCTTGAGCGCCTTTGGGTGCCAAGCCAAGCCATGAGTTCCCGGTGCGCATCATCCTTCTGTTCCAAATGACTGCTTGCACTCTCTTAAGAAAATCTGAAATAACTGAACTTCCATGATTAATCAGCATAGACGTGTCTAGTGTTTCATCCGTTGCTTCTTGGAAGACAGTTTCACATGCTGGCCCATAAAATGAGGGCGGATCTCTTCCGTCTGGTCCCCGATCTGCAACTAAAGTTCTCCAGAACTCTTCTGGGGGCGGACCAGTTTTAGGCTTCCACCCAGCTAGAGTAGGCCACTCTGGAGGTATGTGGCCAAGCTGGGAAGGGAATTCGAGTTGGGCAACCGTGTCCAGCACAAAACCTTGTAGGAACATACTCCGGTCAACAGAATTCCAGTACTTGAAAAGACTTGTTATCTTGGGTGGACCGATTGCCCTTGATGCAGTATATATAGTAACGTCCGCGTCTCCAACAAGCGGATCAGGATTTCTTCGAATCAATCTTCGGCCTAGGGCACTGCGATCGACGGGTTTGTAGGCTGCGTTCGTAAGTGTTGCGATCCAGGAAGGAAACCTTTCCCCGGGGAGCTCTGGGGCCCATGGACGGCATAAGATATCAAGAGCGCGAGAGGGATTTGCTCGAGGAATCGAAAAAGACATGAATTGTTTATACACCTCCAGTACAGGAGCCGAGTAGTCGACTTTGAACGGTTGACGCACTCGGTCTGGCTGTATTAATGAATGAAGGATTCTCTGGGTGCTAGGCGTATTGAAGATCGGCAGATCCGAAGTCTCAATAATGTCTGTTTGGTCCGACCTAAAAGCATCTCGGGAAATCGACAGCAATGAGAATATCACGTCTCGTGGCTCCGAAGTTTCGTACATAGTAAAGCTCGACACTAGGTATTCGAGACTCCGTAAGGGTATAGGGGTGCCTTGATGGTATGGAGTTCGAAATAGATCTCTCACGGCTTTGACAATCTGAATAGCTCCTAAAGCTGGCGCATACCTAAGGCCAAATGATGCATTCTCGAGCTCCGATACGGATAGTCGTGATTGATTTAAAGACCCAGAAAGTGCTCTGTGAAATAGTAATGCGGCCATGGAGAATGTCATCCAATTCAGTGTGTCTTTTCCACACACTAATATTGCAGCTTCTTGATCAGCTAGTGCGATCTCTTGAATTACCCATCGACGACTGAACTAAAGCCTCGAATAAGGAGCAGTCAGTTCATTGTATATCATGAGGGTTATAGCCTCCGGTGCACAAGAAGACTCACCCAGGGTTGTTCCATAAACTGGATAAGTGCTATCCATTGATCCCCGTATTTGTCATCTCGACAAAGCTGGTCGAACTTCTTAAGATCTAATAAATCGTCATGGATAAAACGTATTGCCTTCCTACTGGTTTCGTCGCCTTCACCGAGCCAAACACACACTCGCTGTGCCTTACCATAGATCTCCGACATCATGGGCACCTGTCGACTCTTCTCAACTGTACTTACCTGATCAATACATATTCCATCTACCTAAATAATCCTATACCTGTCAATTAAGCGAAGGCGTCGAAGGAGGACCTCAAGATTCCCTGGCACCTTAAGGCATGTATCACCCTCGTCACCTCTAACGCGGAGTAGATTATTCCACTTGTCTCGGCCCCAGCACCAGGACACAGCCTCGAAGTCGACTTTTGGACTATTATTGAGAATAACGTCGAGCACGATATCTGCCTCTAACGCCCGAGCTGGATGAAGTTTGATCAGGCGTGTTGAAAAGCCCGTCGGAGCCAAAGGTATGGTATCATAGCTGAAATCTGGCAGCCCACAGGTTTGGCACATCTTGAAGATCGATTCCAATTTCAGGGTCGAGGTGGCCTTGTTGTTTAACGTAAGAAAGGTCTAGCCTAGCTAACTAAGCGGATTAGGGAGGTAAACCCCTCGCCGTCTTAGTAAAACTCTAAGCTGGTCAGCCAAAATTCGTACCTATAGTGGACTACCTAACTCGCTTAAGTAGAATGGTGGCCCAAAGTCAAACAAAGAGGAGAAGGTAATGAAGAGTGAAGTAAAGGCGGGTACACAGCGGGGCAGAAATTGGAGCCTTCATACTCAGGTCACGTGTGGTGCAAGCGTGTAATCAGGATCAAAGGTCCAGGGTACTTATCACACTTAAGAGCGTGGAAGATCGTTGTATAAGCGACAAATACTCCTGGTGGTGCTGCTGCAATCAAATGGTTCACATTGGGATTAAATCATATAATGAAACTTTAGGCTCCAATCATAGAATATCGTCACTGCCGAGATTGATCCATGAAGTGTTTTTTAGTCGACAATTTACGCTCCAGGCTTCGAAAGTAGTTTGATTGATGTGGTGCCGTCGTGGCTTTATTATCTAATTACTGCGATACTCAATCATATAAGATCCATGACTCCCCGGCTTGTCATCTGTTTGGGTATAACAGTAAAGAAAGGTAGTCAAACCAGACAGTAAAAACCACCTAAGTTCCTTAACAGAATGCACAAAGCACGCTCCCAATAGCTGGCACACCAGCAAATGACGTTGCAAAGTTAACAATACTGTCAAGATTGTTGTCACAAAACGAACCACAAAACCCTTGGTCTGAACACGAAATAGTCCAATGAATCCTCGCTTGGGTCGCCGCCTTATCCCCTTTTCCCTCAGGATATACACTAACCAAAATCGAGCCAGTCTCTGGATACGTATACTGGCCGTACTCGAAGTCATATCCCGACTCACAAGGTTCCCCACTAGGTGGACACTTCCCGTTGTAGTGGCCCTTCTTGGTCACTGGCGTTCTCTCGACTGCGGGGCCCACGGCGTCAATCAGAATCGTTTTCATTCCTGGGATGTTATCGCGAGCTGAGAAAGAGCAGTCGTCGAATCTAATGCTACAATCGCTGCCAATACCATAGGAGGCTCCTTTGCACTAGATCCCCTCGTCATCTTCGTTGATGTGCCTGAATGCATTTTGAGGCTTCTAAGCTTCGGTCTCAGCATTTGTGCCTTGCACACGGACCGTGATATCCTTTTTGGACATGACATAGTCGGTTTTTGTTTTCCAATTTGTAGGAGATGGAGGGGATGGGGTATCCATATGCGAGCAAATGTAGGCGCTGGTACATGTCTTTCCGTCGGCCAGCTGGAAAGCTGCCGTGCCATGCTCTGCCTAGCACTTGAACTCATTCCCGTATGTGTGCTTTGCATCACCGGCATAGCTCTTAGACTCTGCTCAATCCCTGATATCCGGGTTGATCCAGACTTAGAAAGTGTCGCCATTGGGAAACTTAGTGGCAACACCACCTCGTCTCCATGGGTATGATCCATCTCAGGGCAAATTCGCAATCATATCTGGATGTATCCACTTCCTGTTGCCGTCAGTGTACGATCCAGAGTAATACGCCATTTCCCTTGAAGTTGAGGCGCCGTTAGGGAGAACTCCAATGCCGCAGTCCACCAGCATCAAGTGCTCGTTGGGTCGGTACTCGCGTGGACTGATGGTCGCGGCTCTAGAGCCTGAGACCAAAAGAAGACTGGGAGCTATGAACTTGTTCATATTTGGAATTGTGTGGAGCTGGAAGCTTTACTGTGGAAAATGGTGGGATGTGTAAAATTTAGGTAAAGAAGCGAGAGTGGCAAAACAATGTAGAGATTCTTCTTCCTCTGTGGAGACAACCAGACAGATAGATATACTTCGAGAGTTTAGCAATCACCCAATGAGAATAAGCAAAGTGTATAATCCCTTTACGCAATTACAGCTAAATGAAAATGAGAGAAGCTGTGTTGAATCACTTCATGTGCTAGAACCAATAAAATCCAACAGACTGCTAGACGCAGTGTATTATAAAGCCACAATTCCATTTTTCGTCATTGGAATATGTATCAAAGACCTTGTCGAATTTCGAAGCTGAAAAAGAATCAGTAGAGATGCATCAAGCTTACCTTCAGCTTGACACAAGTAATGAAAGTCTTCCCTGTTGCAGGGGTGCATATACTGCCGGCGTACTCCGAACTCGCTGAAAGCTGAAAGCAAAGTAAGCGTCTGCTGCATGATGTAAGCAACGTGCCGTAAAAAGCTTGACTTTAAGGGAGTCTTTAGGTGTAAGCTTTGATTCATTATGTTTACCTACTCGGTGATGGCGGCAGGCTGCCTCTCTTCTTCAAGTACGCCTTTGGCAAAAGTGTCTTCCACTTTTATATGTTCAATACGGATGGTGTTGACTGGGCACGTCGAGAAGGATTCTAGCACTCCAACTATCTGATGGAATAATTCCAAAACGTCCTTTAAATTAAAACTCAAAACGTAAACCTTCTCTTTCAAGCTGACCTATTTATCGCTGTCGATGTTCTACTCTCATCTGTAAGCCCCCTTCCATGGGCATTGTCAAGTAAGTTCTGCTAGTCTTTGCCCCGTTAAATGCTGGTGTGAAAACATAAGCATTAGTCAGGGTTGCAATAATCTGAATAGCTATCAACTCGGCCATTCTTTTACCTAGACAAAGCCTCGCACCACCCTGGAAGACAGGGAACTCTGCCGCACTTCTATGAGTTAATACCCCTTCATGCAACCACCGATCAGGCCGAAAGCTCTTGGCATCGTCCCCCCAGGTTAAAGTTGACCGGTTCATAGCCCATGTGCACCAAAGTACGACTGAGTTCTGTGGGATGAAAGTACCATCGGGCAACAAGGTATCCTCTTGGGCTTGCTTGAGCTCAATTGGGATTGGGGGATATAAACGCAATGCTTCGTAAAATACGGCAAGGATGAAGTGACTTGCATCAGAACTGAGATGTTCATGATTGATGACAGCGATATTATTGGTTTTAACCAGATGAAATATCCTTGTTGATACATCTTGATGCTCTGAGAGAAGATAAAATGTCCACGTCAACGCTTGTGCGATTGTATCTTTGCCAGCAGAGAGATAGTTCAGTGCCGAATCAGCTACTAATGATCGATCGCAAAGGTGATCAAGCAGTATATGAATCAAACTTGGGGTCTTTTCAAGTGTAGATTCATTGTTAGAATCCTCGCACTGCTCAGCTTGTTCCACTAGCTTTTGACCGTACTTCTTCATAATCTGGATAGATGATCGAAGTCTTGCACCAGTCACTAGCTCGGTGAATCTCCAGAGAGGGTTCTGAAAACGCTTAGCGATTTCTCCCGAGGCGTGATCGAAAGCTTGGGTGAAATGGTCGTCCGCGTGCATATCTGTATCGTAGGCCAACCTTCCTATCAGTTGCGTGGTTATTTCGTGAAAGACACATTCCAGATCAACGACCATCGAACCTCGAGCCACAGGGTGAAGGTTGGATACGGCTTGTTGTAGGAGTTCAGGTAAGTCTCGGTGGGTTAAGGTTCTGATCATGGATGTGGTGAAGAACTTGGTTCCGGCCTTGCGCTGTTGTTTCCAAAGATTGCCGTCGACATTAACGATGCCGTAACCAAATAAGTCTTGTAATCGAGCTCCAAAGAAATCTCCCTTCTGGAACTTCTCCTCGTGTTGAAAGACATATTCAAGGTTCGCTGGATCCGAGATGATAACGCCGGGAGGAAGAGTAGGGATACTGATGCTGAGAGTTTCGTAGCCGCACCTATCGAGGGAGTGAGACAAGAAATAAGGAGAATGAAAAAGTTTCATAGCATACCTAGTGAACCAAACCAATAGTTCTTCGCGGGGCCGAAGGAAAAGCAGTCCATTACCAACGATTGGCAATGAGTTGGGAGACTTTCTACATACCAATATCATGAGTAAATCACAAATAGACGATTAGGTGATGTAACAAACCGAATAGGTCTCCCGTGACGTGTTATTTGAGGCCGCCGAATGGCTCGGTATATGGCGAACAGGATCACCATGGTGAGCCAAACATAAACAAGATCTCTCATTGTATTCGACAAAGTCATCTTCGAGAACATATCAAGTGACTAATTCAACATTTTGATCTTCATAAAGAGAGATACAGAAGAGACGACAAGGCGTTGTAATATTTTAGATCGTTTATCGAACGTTGCATAAGATGGACTAAGGATCGTATCACGGACTCGGCGTAACAGAAGACAAGATAAAACCCCGATCGGACGAATTATCTGCCCGAAGATAGACACATCTTTATCTCGGCATCTGCTAGTGCATGGTCGTATAGGACTAGGTACAAACTTTGCCGGTTTCCTTGACATTCTATGCGAACTTAGTACGAAATTAAAGATTTCATGCTAACTATTCCAACCTAACTGCCCACTTTTAGTTTTAGTTCGTAATGCCGTGACAGCTTTAAAAAGGGTACATCTGGCTTACCAACTTTACGTCCTATCATCCTTCCTTTCACAGACCTTTAATCGGCACCATGCAGCCCACTGTTGTGATACTTGGAGGCGGCTTCTCTGGAATTGGCACTGCGCACAAGTTACTCAAACACACCAAACCGAAAGTTCCAACCCTGCGTATCATCTTGGTCTCCCGCTCAACCCACCACTATTGGAACATTGCCTCTGTCCGTGGTGTCTTACCAGGCGCCATATCAGACGATTGTCTCTTCTACGATATCAACAGCGGCTTCCAAAAGTACCCTTCAGACTCATTTGAACTTATCATTGGTTCAGTGTCTGGCATCGATCTTAATCAAGAGTGCGTTGCTATCCAGACGTCAGATGGCCCAAAGTCCATTCCCTACACTGAACTTGTCATCGCTACTGGTTCTTCATATCCCTCTCGGCTACCATTCACGTCCATCGGTACCTACGACGACACACGAAATGAGTTGCACCAGCTTCAGCACAAGATAGAAGCTGCTTCATCCATTCTCATTGCCGGAAGTGGAGCTACTGGTGTCGAAACAGCAGCAGAGCTCGCGTCCGCGTATAACTCCAGCAAGGATATCACCCTGGTGGTCGAGGGCCAGGCACCCCTGTTGATGTTGAGAATGGATATCCGCGAGGCGGCCGCGCGTGGCTTGGAAGCTTTAGGTGTTAAGCTAGTCGCCAATGCACGTGTCCAGACATCCACTCAGTCTCGGTCTAAGATGCACACCCATCTGTCCAACGGTGATAGCCACGAGACTCACCTTTACCTTCCTCTTTTCGGCACGCGCCCAAACACCATATTTGTCCCGCAAAATCTCCTGGATGACCGGGGGTATGTCAAGTTGGAAAGAACTCTACGGGCAGAGGGGTTTACAAATATTTGGGGAGTTGGAGATGTCGGAAACCTTGAGAGTAATCAGCTGATCTACGCTGAGAGCCAAACTCAACATCTCGCCAAAAACCTTGATGCTGTCCTTATTGGAAGACCTGATCAAGTTACAGACCTCAAGCTAGGATATAGCCCTCAGATCTTTGTCACTTTGGGCAAAAAGAAGGGGGTAGGACAGTTTCTCAATTTTCAGGTTCCCAGCTTTGTTGTGAGCACCGTCAAGGGCAAAACTTTATTTACCGAGAAGGGCCCAGGGATGATCTCTGGGAAGAACATTGTGCGATCCGCTATCTAATAGAAGAGATTACCAGCTTTTCCATAGAATTTATTCCGAATCTACGAACTTTATTTGTTGTTAGCTTCCAATTTAGATATAAATACATATGTTGCATTATCTTATACTTTCAAGTCTCTACTGTATCTCTTTGCATTTTTCATTTGCTTTATGCCCGGTGTAAGACTGTGGATTCAAGCCTAGCCAACTTTCAAGGTAACAGCGGGTTTGCTAAAGTGATAAATCCCTCGCCGGCAGTAGCATCAAGATTGGTTAGTCTAAGCCCCGGGATTAAGAATGAGTGCTGATAGGCAGTTTTCTAGGTACAACTGACCCTGGAGATGATCAAGCCAGAGCCGGAGCTAGACACTGCCGATCTGTCAATCGATAACCCGAGCTTCGTTATCGTATCCGGACCGAGCCGAATAAAGCGTTATAAATGGACCAGGGTCAGTCTGTGAATTTTTGACAGGCGGCCGCTTCGAACCGTTTTAGGACTATTCCTAGTGAGCCCAGTAATATTCACCTGATTTATCTTCAACTCAAGCCGAAAAAGTCATAATAAATAAGTTTTTTTTAAGATAAGTTAGTTTTAGAAACGTGACCTAAGACTCGGGAGAATAAGACCGATACGTATCCGTATTCGCAATTTTTGCCATGCGCTGTCTGCCGCATCAAAGCCCAACGGCGGCGGAATGATTGTGCCGGCGGCTTCTTTAAGACATCAAAGACTACAAGGAGGTAACAGAGTTAGTGGTATTATGTATTCGGAACCGACATGAAGATGGAGTATGGTGCCTCCATTAATGGCATTTGGGGCATTAGCCACTCTCAAATACGGACTTATGTATGCGATTCAGTTAGTCAACCCAGACCCATGGCAGTGCACATTCTCTAGCGTTTGGAGCAACAGATAATCGTGTTACATATAAGTACATACCTCTAACACACCACAGAGGCCGAACTGTCTTGTAACAATCTTCTAACAAGAGCTTAAAATTCGTGTACGTTTGAGAATGGAGCATGAATTATTTGAAGATCTCGGCTTGTCCATAGCTGGAATTGGGGTGCAGTACCCGCCTCACATGCTTGGACCAGAAGCACTCAGTACCCTCAGTCACAAATTTTACCCCGGGACCCCAGCGTAAGTAAAGACGCTGGATCATCACCATTCGTGCTGACTAACCTTAAAACCTTGATGCAGGATGAAGAAGCTCCTTTCTATCAACAGATTCACCGGTATTGACACTCGATCCTCAATAGGCACGGCAAATCACCCGATCGTCAACCAGAAGCATCCCCCAACAGTGTCAGAGCTACATCAAGTCTTTGTGGACGAAGGAGTTCCTTTGGCTATAGCTGCGGCGCGCCAAGCGATCAACGAAGCGGGAATCCACCTGGACGAAATCACCCATATTGTCTCGACGACTTGCACGGATAATTCAAATCCAGGATTCGACACACTAGTCGTCGAGGGACTCGGACTACAGCAACAGGTAGAGAAGGTTCTTCTGCAGGGAGTCGGCTGCAGCGGGGGACTTGCCGTGCTGCGAACGGCGGCAAACCTGGATCTAGGTAGAACGGCTCGGCGAAGACCAGCAAGGATATTATGTATCGCGCTCGAAGTGTGTACAACACTGGTACGTAGCGAGCTGGATAGCGTTCACGAGCTTCAGGAAACGAGGATTGGGGCTGCGCTTTTCTCGGACTGTGCCAGTGCCATGGTTCTCTGTAACGACATTGGCGGCTCGACCAATTTGGTGTACGAGCTTTTAGGCTGGGATCACCGTATTATACCTGATACAGCAGATCACCTACGCTTCGATGCTGACCCTCTTGGTAAGTCAAGTCCATGAATGGGCCTGATAAGATCCTGCAAAGCAATTTTCGGCACGTATGCTGATCGTTTTTATGTACCAGGCTGGAAAGTCGTTCTCACACCCTAGGTGCCAGCAATAACCTGCTCTTCGTTACCTCCTATCATATCTGACCTACTTGCGTCAATACCATCAATTCCGGAACACGAAAAGAATGCGCTCAATCTTGAATGGGCTGTTCATCCTGGGGGTCTGACGATCCTTACGGGGATCGAGAGGGTGCTAGGCATCACGCCTCAGCACCTGCGGGCCAGCTACTACACATACATTCAGAACGGCAATTCTAGTTCCGCTACCATATGTAGCGTCCTGGATAGACTGCGAACAAATGCCATGGACGTAGAGGCGCCTGCTTCAGGGCCGGCGGACTACGTCATGGCATGTGCTTTTGGACCTGGTATCGCCGTCGAGGTTTGCACACTCAAAAGGAATATGAAAGGGCATTGAGATACCTTAGTATAGGCATGGGAGTAATAGACAGCAGAGCGTAGATACCAGCATACAGAAACACCTAAGTTAGCTTACAAGCTTATTGCTTCCCATCTTGATAATTTCAGATAGTGAAATTTCCATTGCCTTAGATGAGTATTATGTTTTAGGTCGAAGCAGGGTTCTGAAAGTGACTCGTCATGTGAGAAGGTGCTTATCAGTGGCTAGTTGTTTACAATGAAGGTTGCAAACTCTAAATGAGGTGCGAATGGTTTGAATAAAGGTCCTGCCTAGATGCAGAAAGTTGCACTAAAACAAGCCATGCTGTTACTAGCCCAAGAGTTATGTCGGGCTCCAGACTAGACTCAGCCTTGGTAGTGGTAGTTAGGAAATGAGCTTCGACTGCGCCCAGTTTGTGGGACCTGACCATATGCCAGTTTAAACTTACAGGGAATATTCTTCGGGCGGCCGCCGTCCAAACTCAGACCGTTGTGATGCCACAAGTATTCTCTATACTCGGCATGATTGATTTCTGATTGGTGAGGATGTGCCGTCGCATTTCGATAGCAATGGCCTAGATTTGAAGTCTCGGAGAGTTTCAATGCTCCGTATCCGTCAATCTGGGCTCACTGTCATATGTGACCGGCAGAGTCAGCGTCACTACTCTCTCCTCATGGTAGAATGTGTATATAATCACGGCACAGTATGCTTTCAGTAAGTCAATCTGGATAGAAGGCTAGGCCTAAGCTCTAAGGTACCGAGTCACTTTGCTCACCTCTTTGCTCACCACGATCATTCAATATTCGCCCGCGACGCGACTATTTTGTTGGTTCTACATCCACTTACGATCAATATCCCATTCTCTTCTGCATCCACTGCATAATGATGGGTGGCCACGATGCCGCTAAGATTCCGCAAGTCAATGGGGTGCCGAATTCAAGAATGAAAGACCTCCTTAAAGTGTGTTGTAGTTATCCTCATCCATAGTACATGTGGAAGCAATGGTCTTATTGATACTGGCATCATTGTTAGTTCCTCTCAACTATCAAGGGCGACCTAGCCAACATCACAGCTCCCCCCTCGTTCCTAGCACCATGTTCCGTAGTGGAAAACCCTCGATGCTGGGCTGAACGACCAGATGTCTTCGTAGCTCCTACTCTCGAAGCATCAAGTGCGAAGCGCAGTCTATTAGTGCTGCGAATGTTCCTCATCGGCTTACGTCGTCAATTATATATTGGGGGTGGACCAGGCACCAGCATTCGTAAACCGCTCAATGCATTCTTGGGAGAGGTTTATCTTTCCTCCTGGGACTCTAGCGTGGATGGACAGGAGACTGCTACAACAAACCTCGTCTCGGAACAAGTTAGCCATCACCCGCCCATTACGGCTATGCATATCGCGAGTGATACACACGGTATTCGCGCTGATGGATATGCTCGCGTGGAAATGAAGTTCTCTACCACATTAAAGATCCGCCAGATTGGCCACACTATACTTCACATAGACAGATTTGATGAAGACTATCTACTTCCGCTCCCTGACGTACAAGTACGCGGGTTTCTTTCGGCATGCCTTTATCCAGAGATTCGGGGCACGTACTTCATCCCGTCGACCTCTGGATATGTTGCCGAATTGAGGTTCAGCGATGGTGGTTTACTCAGCGGTCAAAGTAACAAATTTGAAACAAAAGTCTATCATACCGAAGACAAAACAAAGGCGCCAGTATACACAGTGGAGGGCATCTGGAGTCAAGGCTGGACTGTCAAGGAAAGCTCCACGGGCCTGGTGCTGGAGGTCTACGATGTCGAGGATGCAGACGCGAACCTCAACAGCCGACAAGATGACACCGACATAGAGCAGCAAGATGAATGGGAGTCCAATAAAGCTTGGCACCAAGTGCTGTATAGCATTCAACAGGGTGATCTAGAAGCTGTCTCCAAAGCCAAAAATGCCCTAGAACAAGCACAACGCCGCATGAGGAAGGAGGAGAAGGCTAAAGGGAAAGGGTGACAGCCATTGCTGTTCAGCAACGACTTAAGCCCAGATGATTATGAAGTTTTTCATATCTTAGGAAAGAAAGGGAAAGAGACTTTAGATGCCGAGCAGACCCTGGGTGTGTGGAAGATCAACAACAACATTCTCAAGGGCTTGCAAAAACCTTTCAGACCGGGTCTTACTCCTCTAGGATATACATAGTACGTTATTGCGGAACTGATATGCCAAGTACAATACACAATACTGTACACAATATAATCAATTAGCGCTACACTACCATGCAATATAATATACAGTGACTATAATGTACCTACAGAATATAAGAGGCGTACTTTTAGGTATTGCTCGGTACATATCGTCGATTGTTCCCAAGGATGGATATTTATCTTCACACCCTCCCCATCATGGTAATGGTCCAATGCCTGATTCACAGCATCGGCGTCAAGCCTTTTGATGACCTTGAAACGGCTCGGACGAAGCTTTCCCCGTTTGAACCAATTGGGAATCTCTTCCCAGAACCGGACCGTAACTTCCGGGTGCAGCGGCGATACGCCAAGCACAAAGCGCCGTTCATAGCCAGCAGACTTGGATCCCATGCGTGCGGCGTCGAGGTCTCCTTCTGGTCGACGAAGAGTGATCAATGTGCCTTTCAGCTTGGACAGTTGAGGGCTCATGTAGTTTGGACTCTCTCAAGTTCGATAACGAGCGTACTCTTCCTACTCTCTCTGACAACGATGTTTTGGTCAAAATCCATGCGGCGTCTCTTAACTACCCCGACATCATGATTGCACTGGTACGTACCTACAACTTCATCCTGCATTATCATCCCCTAACCCCTTCAGGGCACTTATCCTTTTCCCCTGGCGCCAAATGTCATCCCAGGATCCGACGGCGCTGGAGAAGTCGTGGCAGTTGGCTCCAAAGTGACCCGCTTCCAGAAAGGCTCCAAAGTTGTGACTCTGTTTATGCAAGCTCACTACGGTGGACCACTGACCCCCATGGCGTTGGGCACAGGTCTAGGTGGTAGTATTGATGGCACTTTCCGACAGTATGGTGTGTTCAACGAAAACGAACTGGTAGATATGCCAAAGAACCTCAGCTACCTGGAATCTGGAACACGGTCCTGTAGTGCCTTGACGGCGTGGAATGCTCTCTACGGACTTAAGGCAATGCTTCGGGTGATTGGGTCTTGACGCAGGGAACGGGAGGTGTGAGTATATCTGGCTTACAGTTTGCCAAGGCTGCAGGGGCTCGAGTCATTGCTACAACATCCTCTGCAATTAAGGCTGACATGTTGAAGAAGCTAGGAACAGATCATGTCATCAATGACAAGGAGACGCCAAACTGGAGCGAGGAGGCCAAGAGGCTCACAGGCGGGGCTGGCGTTGAACATGTCATCGAGATTGGAGGCGCGCATACTGTGACAGAGAGCCTCAAGGCCGTTGTCCTCGGGGGTGTTGTCACCATTGGATGGATTGGTGGGCAGGGAGAGACTGGGCCGAGCTTTCCCCAAATCTTATCAAGTATGGCAATTGTCAGGGGAATTATCGTTGGAAGCCGAGAACAATTCGACGCAATGGTAAGTACGGCTTTCTCCTTTTGTTACTTCTCGCCATCTTTTCACTTAGGCATCTGTTACTTATACAGCCAGATTCTTGTCGTCGAAGCTTCCAACATCAAGGCTGTGCTTGATCAGCACGTCTTCAAGCTCGAGGATCTCAAGGAGTAAGTTAATTCCATCTTAAATCGATTTCCGTTACAAGCTAATACAGGCAAGGCCTATAATTATCTTGCTGACCAGAAGCATTTTGGCAAGGTTGCAATCCAGGCTGAGTAGATGTGGCCTTCTCTGGCAGTCTTTAGTGGCTATAGTCTATACATCTTCAATGGGGATGACAATTTCGAATACTCTTCAAGCTTATAGAGTCATTAAAATTCTCCTGAAACCCCACGTGATCTTCCATAATCCCAGGGCCAATGTCGCCCCAGCTAGTGCAGGAAATAATCAGGCGTCGAGAAAGGACAAATGTTAGGTTTTTTGTAAATGAGTTCACGGTCCAACCAAAAGCCTGTACCTTCCTCGAATCCTGGTCTGAAATTCCTTATCAAACACCCAAATAGCATGCATAACATGACCAATTGACCGGAGTATGACCTGCTTTGCTCGGTTCCGGACTCAAAGCCAGTCAGTCACACACTCCAAGCTGATAACACATTCTAGATTCCGAAGGCACAGAGGCGGAAAGCTAATCTATGGAGACGGAAATATATGTCACGGAGTCTGATATCTCCCCTATACCGTTTTTAATGTCAGCTCACGGATAGAGAGCCGAGAACTTGGGGAAGATTACGATCCTAATCTGGGGAGGGAGGTGGGACATTCTCGGAATTTTATCATATTTCCGTCCCCACTACCTGGCGTAGCCCGATAAGCCAATACCGTGAAACTCATATGCCGAACTACATTACTGTAATTCGCCGGCGGGAGAGGAACGATGTCCTTAAAAGGCTGCCATCCTCGACTATTTATCTCGCTGGACAGATCACTTAAAGTCTACATTACAATGTCTTATCCTTTTGAGCAGGTTGACGAGGCGGCGAAGAAATCTGATACTAGAGACTTGGTTCAGTCTCCATCACTTGGGCCAATTGATATTGCAAACACAGTCACTTACGATGCTGTTTTTGGTACAATCACTGAAGATGGACCCAATTATCGCAATGTACGTATTATCTGTGGCCTCAACATACATCTTTCTCGGGTTAGACTAATTGGTTTGATCATAGGTGGGATGGATTGGCACATCAGTGTTGATGATGAAGACTCAAATTGGTCTCGGCGTCTTGTCCATTCCAGCCGCCTTTGATACCCTTGGACTTCTCCCAGGCGTCATTTGCCTTCTGGCCGTCGCGATTATTACCACCTGGTCTAACTATATGGTCGGTGTCTTCAAGGTCAATCACCCTCAGGTTTACGGAATTGATGATGCGAGTAAGCTCATGTTTGGCACAATCGGTCGCGAGGTGCTTGCTGCCGGATTTTCTCTCTGTAAGTCATTGCAAACCCACAACTTGAATCTTTCCCTGCTAACCATGCCCGAATCCAGACTTGGTTTTCGCTGCCGGATCTGGCATGCTCGGCATTTCGATAGGCTTGAATGCAATCTCGACACATGGGACATGCACTGCCATCTTTGTTGCGGTCGCAGCCGTTGGGGTGATAATTCTCTCCAGCATCCGAACCTTGGAGCGCTTGAGTTGGATCGCATGGGTTGGACTAGTAACACTCCTTGTCTCTGGTAAGTATCATCACCTGTTCTTGCCTAAAATGTAGTATCTAACAACAGTAGTTTTCATGGTCACTATCAGCGTTGGCGTTCAAGACCACCCCGATGCCGCACCCCCTGGCCCTTGGTCCTCTGACTGGAAACTAGTGGGCAATCCATCCTTTGCAGCAGCGGCCTCAGCGATCTCAATGTTTGTGCTATCCTATGCTGGCACACCCTTTTTCTTCCCAATTGTATCCGAGATGCGCGATCCCCGTCACTATACGAAAGCACTTATGCTATGCCAAGTTGTTGTGACTATTACATACGTTTCAGTTGGTGTCGTTCTTTACTATTATTGCGGATCTTATGTCGCGTCGCCGGCTCTTGGGTCTGCTGGCAAGTTGATTAAGAAGATATCATATGGCATTGCGCTCCCTGGACTGTTCGCTAGCACCACCCTTGCAATTCATGTAAGTACTAGGCATTTTGAGTAGACGGCATTCTTACTGACGAACCACAGCTAGTTGGCAAACACTTCTTCGTTCGGATTTTAAGCGGTTCTAAGCATCTTACTTCCAACACATTCACCCATTGGGCTACTTGGTTCGGATGTATCTGCGGCTGTGCTATAATCTCTTACTGCATTGCGAGCGGAATTCCCGTCTTCGGCCCACTCATCGGTTTGATTGGTGCACTTCTGGGTACTCTCCAGTGCTTTCAGCCGATGGGCTGTATGTGGCTTTACGATAACTGGAGCACTGGGAAAGAAGACAAGTCAGCCAAATGGTTATTCATGGTTTGTTGGAGCTTATTTGTCATTATCTCAGGTACATTCTTGATGATTTCCGGTACCTACGGGTCTGTCATTGGCATCATCGATGCTCTCAAGGCCGACGGGGCATCTGGTCCCTGGTCGTGTGTTGACAACTCGAATTCTACTTGACGAAGCATATCGAGGAACTACATGTCGATATAGTTTCTGCCATGTTAAGGCTAAATAAAGAGGAGGAATACGAACTTGTTTTTCACTTATTATGCACTATTTGTCTCAAGCTTTTCAGGAGTGTGATAGTTGTAGTTGAGGTAATCTTGAGTTATGGGATAGTAAAAGAAGCTTTTTCTGTCTGGTTGATAATTTCAACCCTTGCGGAGGTGGATTAATAATCGAAGGCTATTGTGTCATTGTGGTACAATGCGCGATCCTACCTTCCAACCGTGTACGAACTTAGTGCCTCCAATAAAAACAGCACAGGCCAATCCCTGTTCAGTCCCTGTAGCTCTAGATAAATGCTGTCGAATCTTCACTTTGTTGCGAGGGCCGAGGCTACCGAATTGAAAATCGTGTGATCTCAATCCTTGCTCTTCGTATATGGCTACAGAGGGGATCTACAAAGAAGATGAACCTGAAACCACAATACCCCCTTTTTCACTGGTCATCAATTAGCATGAAGCTGGTTCGTAAGCAAATGGTTCCCGAGGTCTGCTTGTTTCCGTCTCCCGCGGCCCGCACTTGCTTCTGCCATACCTCCGGAGCAGTCTCCCTCAATACATTAGATCCACGGACCAAGGCATGTCACAGACACATAGTCAAGGTGGTGCAACCCCTGAAGGCTGACTACATATTGCCCGTATTAGCTGTTAATTTAATTGAGGTGTTACAAATTGAGTTTCTATGCGCTAAAGATGTCAGCCTCTTGCATGAGATGCATAGGGACCATGTAAATATCCTTGCGATGTCTTCTATCCCATAATTAAGTATGTTGCCCACTGGTTGTATAAAACATTACTTTGCCGTCGTTAAAATAAGTCACTTTCGATAGTTAAAAACGCCTCCAAGAACCACCTCTCCCTTCCTATCATCCTTACACGTATGCGTTTTAAACCATTCACCTGTACCACCAGCTCACCATGCATTTCACCACTTTTCTCACCGCCCTTTCCCTTGCCGCAGTTACCGTCGCAGCTCCCGGAGATCGTGGCCATGAAACTGTTCCCGGCTTGGGCGGCAGGAAGCAGGCTATCTTAAACGCCGGTGGGAATACTCTGGACGTCGCTATTGCCATGCTTGAGGATCGGCATATACAGACTAACTATAAATATGGTAAGTAAAGCTACTTGCAGATTATTAGGAACTGCCCTATGTTGTTCATATCTCTTATAGCTATTGCCGAACACTACTGATACTCTCCTCAGGCGATGGCAAGACCCGCGACGCAGCTAACTTCGGGTTGTTTAAGGTCAACTGGGGCATGCTGCGCGTTTGTGCCTCTCGCGCCGGCTTCAAAGGCCAGCCTGAAGATAAATGGAATAACGGTGCGAAACTGAAGTACGGGCCCATCAGCGCCCAGGGCCAACACAGCTAACATACTCCCAGCTCTGACGTTCGTGCTGATGTTGCCTCGCGCTGGGATTGCCAGAGGCACTATGGCTACCAGAAGTGGTTTGCTGGTCACCGGAATGGTGCCACCGGCTTAGACCATCCCAACACTCCAGATATCAAGTTTTACCGCGAGTCTGTTGAGTGGATCCAGAGCCAAATTAACTCTAACCCTAAGTATAAGTCTGATGACACTCGCTTCTGGGTTGACGTCACTCCTATCTGAACAGGTCTTGGTGCCTGAACCTTTACTTCTTAAATTTAAACACTTGAAATATAACTTTCATTAGATAGGAAGTTAATAGAGACTTAAGAACATAAACTCAACTCTATTCATAAACCTCATTCTATTATAATTTACATGTATGCTTTAGTTTAAGTAATTAGTAGTTTCTCAGACTAAGTAATATAGAAACCAGTAGGTTCTATTAACTATTCTTCTTCTTTTGGCTTTAACCTTCAACTTTATCAAGCCCAGGCTTTCCAAATCTCTCAATGATATCAACAATAAAAATAACCCTTCCAAGGTCAAAACTCGATATGATCAAGGCAGTAAAAGTCGCATACGGTAACTAAACTCTATCCAAGTGAATTCTGTGAACTATATAAGAAATAGGTCTTGGATACTTCCTCGAATATATCCTATAGCTAAAGGGAGCTATAAACACAGCCTTTTATATTAGTAGGCCTCTAGCTTCTCAATCTGGCCTTGTAGGGATATGACTTTATGCAGCCTTTCGCTCATTACATTCCAATCATCCGAGTCAGGCGACTTGTTAATTTGATCTAACTCACTTTTCAGAGCCATCCGCTTCTCCGCTCTAGAGTTTGCATCGCCTTCGGCCTCGTCTTCGTACATTAACCAGCCGGATAGAGGTTGAATCCCGAGCAGATCAGATTCCAATGTCTCTAGACCGCGGCTTTCGGCCAAACCCAGACCATCATTTGAAATTGGAGCCTGTCGGTGCTCAGAAAAGGATTGGCCTCGAATGCCAAAAGATCCAGCTAGCATAACACTCTTAACCAGTTTGCCGTTGTCGTTGACCTTGACTGGCACTGACGCAAATCCGACGGGGACACTGTCAATTTTCACACGAGGGTACGAGACCCCGCCGAGCAAGTCAGCTGCACGGCGACGTTTGGGCTTTCCCTTGTCGTCCCAGAAGCAAAATGCAGTGATCCATCCTGTAATGTAGTCAGTACCGCTACTGACTGGGTTTCTTGTTGCAATGGTGTTCCAGAAGCGGATAACATTGGGGTCATCAGGTTGTTCAAAGGAAAGAATCATGTGCTTTAAAACCGGTCGCAGCATGTTGGAGAACTGAGTGGGCTCATGACCGAGTTGTTCCAACTTATCCAATCTACCAAGAATATCCCGCCAGTCTGAGATATCACCTAGTAGCGTTACGGAAGGGATCCCACAAGTCAGAGACATTGTGTAAGAGAAGTACTTCTGCATGGCCCCCATGAAAAGCACTGAAGCAACCACTTGATCTGTGTCGGATGTGGTAGAGAAACTGGGCATGACCCAAGACCCTAACTCTGGATCTTTGACGGACTTGCTGATAAGACCCGCCATCTGTTTAGCGAGACCGCCAAAGTTGGCACTTTCCATATCGCCCAAACCCACGACCTCAAGCTTTCTCTGACCCTTGTGATCAACAAAGAACGAGCGCAAATCTTCCGCATTCGCATTGATATAGAAGCTTATCTGTGTCAGGATGGCGAACCAAACGTCTTCGGGACGAATCGTAAGGTGGTGGTGCTGGCTGTAGGCGTGATAGGCTGACCAAACGAAGCCATTCTCAGAAGGTGATATATGCTGATTTTGAAGGGCATTGGTGTCAAATGAGGTCTGGATAATTCGTTGGCAGTGTCGAAAGTCTCGTGGGGAAATCCGTTTTAGAAGATCTTCAGGGGATGTGACGCTGGCGGTTGTCCAGGCAGTGGCCGGATGATCGACGACTTTAACGGTTATTGGCATTGTGGTTGGATGCTCTTCTCGATGTTAGAACGGCTGTGAGTAACGTGCTGCCAGGAATGGGAATAGAACAAATAGTATCTAAATCTATATTGTGAAGTTCAATAAAGAATAATCGCTAGGCTTGATTTCGTGTCAACCCCGGTGCGGGGTTGTTGTTGTTGTGGTGACGTAGGCATGGAGTTTGTGGCTTGCAAATGTACTTAGTTGGAATGGGGAAGGTTACTAACATTAGTTCAATATCTTATTCTTTAGGTATAGTACTATAATAGACTTGCTCAGTATTGTCATCGAGATAATGTAAGGAATATAATTGATAAAGAATTACAATTCTTGTTATCAAAATTAGACTATAGTGCTAAATCTCCACTGTCTCCCTTGATGGATATCTAAGGACTGGATCCCCGAATGTTTATACACTTCCGGCTGTATATAAAGATGAAAGGTTACTGATAAAGCAATACTGGTAGAGGTCTTCTGACTTGGATACAAAGGAAAGTGACTTCTGCGTTATGGTATTAATTGCTTATTGCTCTGTAATCAGCAGAGAGGCCTACACAGCTCCTTGTAGACTGAGGTGCGAGCACTTGTTGAGCTAAAGAGGGCATAATTACACTCTTTTGAAGCCCCTAGAGTCAAGGTTGCAATAGGTGCGCTTCCTGGGGCTTAGGTTACTCATGTGGGGAACCCTGCTTCAATACTGAAACGGTATCCTTAGTCTTCAGCAGACCGTTGTTGATTATACCTAGTAAAGCAGGTCACATTAAGCTCAGCACTGAGGTGGTATTCATGGTCAGATGCATTCATACCCCACCGGAGAAAATCGACCTCAGTCGTCCACTCTTCATAGTAACATATTCTCAAATTACTTGGTATAGACCCTGGATATTGCGGGGAATCTGCGCACCGGTGGGGTTATTGTATTATCTCCACGTCTCTCAGACAGGTATCCAGCTTGAAAGAAGTATTAATAAATACCATGTGGGCCTCTCTGGCTATGGCTGTAAGCAAGCTGTCCAACACAGAGAAGGCTTCCTGCACACTTTGATCTAAGCTCTACTGATTATAATCGCTGTCGATATGTACCCCGCCACCCTTTCCACGGTCGTGGCGCTGGCTCTAGCTTCCAAGGCTTTTTCGCAGGTCCAAGGTACTGCAATTGTCAACTTGGCCAAGGAGCACGGCCCAGCGCGAGCTCTAGGGTCAGGTTTTATCTACGGCTGGCCTGATAACGGAACCGAGGCAGACAACTCCATTCCGGATCACTTTGCCACTGACATCAAGTTTAACGCAAACCGTGGCGGCGGGGCGCAGATTGCATCTCGGGGCTGGGCCACAAGCGGCTACGAAGGCTATCTCGGCCGCTTCAACTCTACTCTGTCCAATTATCGCACCACGCGCAAGTACAATGCCGACTTCATCCTGCTTCCTCACGACCTGTGGGGTGCGGACGGCGGACAGGATTCCAAGTCTCCTTTCCCCGGTGACAATGGTAACTGGACCGATATGGAGATGTTTTGGGACCAGCTTGCATCCGACTTGAAGTCCAACGATATGTTGAAGGGGCTTGTTATCGATGTGTGGAACGAGCCTGATATAGGTTCCTTCTGGGCTCGCACATGGCCACAGTATCTCGAGTATTACAACCCCGCAACTACATTCCTGAGGTAATGGATTTTCACCTGTTTCTATGTTTCCCTTCTATCCCTTCATTCCTTCTATCATTTTACTCTCTGTACTATTCGCTTGTAGAAGGGGAAAGTCAAGGGTCTCAGCCACCTTCATGAGAATCAATTACTGAGCCGATAGAACAGAAAGGAACTCCCCGACACACGTCTCAGTGGCCCGTCCATGGCCGGTTCTCCACGCCTGGACAATACCAACTGGCAAACATGGTTGCAGTCAGTGGCGGGCAACAAAACGATACCAGATCGCTTCTCTTGGCATCAGCTCGGTACTTGGGAGCGTGAACCCGACACAACAGTTCGTGACCTGAATACTTTAAGGGCGCAATACGGCGTCCCGAACAGGCCGGTTGATGTCAATGAATATGCCTGGCCCACAGAGCAAAACCCAGCCAACGCTGTCTACTACCTGTCCCAATGCGAGCGCCACGACATTCGAGGACTGCGCGCCCACTGGGGCAGCGGATCCGACCTTCATAACTGGATGGCCAATCTAATCTACAGCACCACTAGCACATCAGATGGCATGTACTACCCAAACGGCGAGTGGCAGGTCTACAAGTACTATGCCGCTATGACAGGTCAGAGGCTCATTACCACAGCCTCATCAGATCTGCAGTTTGATGTGTTCGCTGCCAAGAAGGGCCATAGCGTCAAGATCCTCGCCGGCACTAGGACCATCAAGGCACCTTATAATATAACCATTAGCGGTTTGGACACGGTGGGCCTCTCCGAGGACAGAACAATCAAAGTCCGCAGATATCAATTTGACTGGGCTGGGCCAAAGGGAAAGGTTGACGGCCCCGTTGATCTTGGAGTACGGAGTTACCTCCTTTCATCCAACACTGTGAGTAGCCACCCTCACTAGAAGCCATATCGCACCGCCTTTCATCTAGACATGTGTGATAGCCTATGGCATAGCTAACTATCCTGCCACAGGTGACAATCACTGTTGACCCACCTACAAACTCCACTGCCTTTGCTTACGAGTTTGATACAAGGAGCCACTAGGCCTCAGAAGACCATGTAGTTGAACTAGCCATGTCTTTACTCTTATCCTGAAGCCAAGGGTCATTATTTTAGTTCTAAATAATAATGGATAAATACCTGCTTTAGTCAGTCTTGGATAGGGGTAGATTTATGTTGTTACTGTAGTCCTGAGGAAAGGAGTCGGCTCTATACAAACGCGTTTAAAGACTAGAAGCTACTATGTCCATCAAGACTCCTTCAAAAAGAAAGGATATCTCTTAGTCTGTTTGACTGTCTAACCATCCAGTCGAACTGCCCCTTGCGAATCACATTGTCGAAGCCCCCTTGCACACCCATATCTCCCACAATACCAAGAGCCTGATTGAGAATTCCATACATCATATATAAACCTGATGCTGCTACCTGCCTTCTATGCTCTGCAGTGTCCCAGTGACAAAAGGCATTCTTGTTCGGGGTGGGCAGAGCTAGAGAAATGACAGAGGCCTTGTCGCTTACGTCTACTGTCAAATATGGCACGCTCGCACAAATTTCATCCACGAGGATTTGAGTCTTAGCTAATAGCGTAGCTGGAAGATCTCTATCCTGTGGAGACTTGATCTGCATTGACTTAGCTGATCTGGCAACAGTGCACTTGTGGATGAGTTCAAGCACACCCAGCTGGGTGATTCTCTGCCGGTTCAGTAAGTTGGCTATCGACAAATTGGTGTAGACGGTTGGAATAACTTTCTCGTACAAAGCAGCAGCTTTTATCGACGAAGATAGGCTACAACCTAGAACAGGTATTGGCCTCCAAGTTGGCGGGAGGGTGTCCAGCCAGCGGTCACATTCGATCACCAGGCTAGTGGCGCTCGTAAGAATGCGTTGTAGTCTCGTATCATCATCGGCGCTGCTTTGAATCAGACATTCATTTGCCGAGTCATGGGAGGCAGGGATCTGATGATTCATCTTTATCAGGTGCTGAAGCCGGGAAAGCTTGAATGCTAGCGTGTCAGCCTCAATGGCGACGCCGTTGGGTTGTTCTGTATTGGCGCTATCCCAAACAGCACTAACAGCCTCAAGACCAGCTGATTGGATGAATCGGTTCCGATCAGAGTAAAGGAGTCTATTTCGAGTGGCGACGAGGAGGCTCCTCGAGGTGTCGTCACGATAGTTAAGCGTTCCACGATGTTGCAGCAGAGCCACGGAACCAAGTATGTGCTTGTCGAAATTTGACTTGCAATATCTCTTCCCAAATATAGCCTCATTACTCTCGTATGCGTCCAAAACGAGAGTGGTCATCAGTAGCTCATCTGACTTGCTCTGTATCGGCCCGGTAATGGCCTGATTGGTTTTGGCTAGAGCCTCGGCGTATATTCTGTGCTCCACGTTTGAATAGTCTCTGCACGGAATGTATAACTGGGCAACTTGAAGCGCTAGCGCCGTCGTGGCCTTGGATAGCGGAGATGATGTGTGTGAATTCGCATACATGACTGGGAGGATACCTAAGAAACTGCAGGTAGTCTGGATATCTTGGTTGAAGCTGTAGCGAAGGAAGAAGAAATTCAAGGCACTAGACTCGACGTCTTCTGAAAGGATCCGGGGGATGCCGTGTAAGGGTTGCAAATGATTTGAATTAAACGTTGTCGACTTTGCAGGCATGAAGGTTGTGTGCTTTTTCGCATGCCGTCTCACAATCTTGACCGTTTCATCCTTGTGGGCTTGTTCGAAAACGTCACTATATCCAGGGCATAACGTTCCTTTTGCAATGCATTTACTGCAAGATGGCGTAGCTTGATCACACTTTCCACTCAGGGTCAGTGATGGTCGTAGATCGGGGCAATGAAAAGTACCACCTTTATCCTTCGTACCCTACAACTCCGGCAGCCTTTACTTGGGCCGTTGTATACCATTTAGAAATCGACTTTTGAGCAACTCCTGTTTAAAAGGTAGAAGTTGTGAATAACGGACCAACTCAACTGTGCTGACGAAACAGTGTGATCCACACCGCGGACCAATAACATTACTGCGCGAGGATACCCCAAGTCGGGTTAGCTTCGACGCAGCTTGACTGACGTTATCATTTAGGAATATAAGTGTCCGATGTGATAGCTATTATCTGTTTAGTTCCAGCATACTAAGCCTGTGCAGTACTATCCTTGCGGTCAGGAGCGTAAATTAAACCGCGATGCTTACCTATGAGGCCCGATTTGGAGAGTCCTTGCGAGATTGACATACTACATGACATAAGATGACGAAGTCGTCCGCTCGCACAGCCACGATCTAGAGCTGTTAAATGGTTACTGAACTATAAGAAGCCCTGTTAAAGCCGTAATTGAGTATTGTTCTCCTCTAAGGCATGACTTACCACTTGATCTTTTACCTTGCACTTAACAAATATTAAAGAACTCTCTCCAGTTTCAGCCATGCATTTCTACCGAGCTGTCGCATCTGTGGGCCCCCTCTCTGGACTTTTTGTGTCAGCAAGTCTCCAAAACAAACAATGTTTCAAACACGAGTCTTTGGCAGGAGGGTTCGTTGAAGGACCTGCTAAGATGAGCGTGGACCCTCTTGTTACCTTTGATTCACCCATGGTGTCTCTTTACAATAGCACCGTGAGCGAAAACTGGTCCTTCGACGCTGTTTCCCACGACGGCAGGGCCAGCATCGTTGTTTATCTTACCCGAGGCACAGTTGCCAACTTTGTTGGCGCCCAGCGGGGTCTGATCTCTGTCTCATGGGCCAACGGAACGCGGTACATGGAAAACGCATTCATGAACATGTCAACCTTGATCATGTTCCCCAAGTCTACATCTGGGTTGTGGACGAACAATGACAAGGACGTATCCTGGAGCTTCACTGCATCTGCAGACTTCAAGAAATCGGTCGTTACTATCAAGTCATCAAGGATCAATGGCACATTCACGCTCAAGAATCGAAGTCCTCCCATTTACCCCGGAGGTCTTGTATACCCAAACGCAAAAGCCAGTGTCATGTTCGCCCCTGAAATGTACTGGCAAGAACAGTTCCCCGTTGCTGATGCCGAAGTTAATCTGGATATCCGCGGCACACCCTTCGTCCTATCTGGTGTTGGTGGACGGGATAAAAATTGGAACCCCCGACCATGGGCTGTAATTAGTGGTAATTGGGACATGGGGCGGCTTGTTGCTGGACCATATGGCTTGATGTTCTGGAACTATACATCGGCTGTGGACGGACAGTCCTACTTCAGCGCCACCTTGATGAAAGACGGAGATGTCATTTTCCGCACTTCAAATGGGCATCCATCACGTGCCAAGGCCTACGGCACCATCAAGTTGACCAACAGCGGCGGCGTCCATCTGACATCCGCCTCAGGAGCTATGTCTACGCTGCCCAAATCGCGCCATACTGGATATATCATCGATTTGATGTCTCCCAAGACACGTGAGCACTGGCGTTTCGTGCTTGATTTCTCCCAGACAACGTTTTGGTTCCCTGCGAGCTCAACCTTAACCGTTGGTCAATTCGGCGGTGTAGTCTCTGGAGGGTTAGTCAACCGGAAAGATTTCAAGGGGGTGGCATCGGGCTCGGTTCAGGAGTATGTTCTTCAGAAAGGGCTCTAGAACGACAAAACAGGGAAGTCGGTATAATGCTCTCTATAGTTCATGGTGTTCTCGATTGGTACGTTCTTATTGATCGAAAATTGTCAAGACTTATCGATTTTAGCTGTGGTGCCAGTCTCAGTGCGACCGTCATATACGGTGACGGTAGATATTGGAGTTGAAGTTCGAGTCTTTGTCACGTTGGGAGGATACTGAGCTTCAATCGTAGTTTCGTATAATTTAGTGACCCCATTGTTAGTCTTCGGGACACTATTAACATATTCGACACGCTGCAAATACTCATACTTAGATCGAAGGCCGGAAAGAGAAGAGCGAGCACCATGCAGCTCTATCCGCATCCAAAATCCCTCGCCTCCATTCGTAGGCCACCTTGTAAGTCTTCTCCTTAATCCTCTTTAATAGCGCTGGGGATTGCGCAGGTATTTCGATAGTCCCTAATCGAAAATAGAAGGTGGGTTTGCATTTCACGTGTTAAAGGCCAAGCCATCAAACCCTCGGCAGCAAGGCATAATGCTTTCTGCTCGGTATCACGTGGATTCAAGAAAGCACAAAGGTTAAATGTCTCGTTCCTTTTTCGTAACAAAAATCAGGTTCTAGTGCCATTTGGGGTAGTATGCACACACCTATTGTTATGGAAAAGGCTTGCTTTCCCCTCCTGCAAGAAACAATATTTGCCAGTATTGAATTGCACCTGCTTTAACCGGCTAGCTCAGGCAAACTGGTTAGATATATAAAACTGTTCTTTCAATCAATTTACTTTATGTAGTGTTTATTATCAATAAGAACCTCTCCGCCTTTCCTGCTGATAAGAAAGAGTCAAGGTTCTACTAATCACACATTTCATCAACCACCTCCGTCAATATGCTCTGGATACTAAAAGCGACATGGCTGTTGGTGGTGTTTAATCACCTCATTCTACAGGTGGCGGCTCAAGATGCAAAAGCTTGGTACCAGTCTCATCCCAATATGGCCCGCATCAAGCACGTAAACCAAGATACCTATCAGATAGTGGACGAGCATGGCCGCACCAGATTCTTCCATGGAACTAACGTGGTTATGAAAGAGGCCCCCTGGTATCGGCCTTCCCATTGGACTCCAGGAGTCTCGTCATTTGGCAAGCAGGATTTGCAAAACATGCACGACATGGGATTGAACATCGTGCGGCTAGGACACAGTTGGGCTGGTGCGGAGCCAGTTCGCGGCGAGTACAATCAGACTTTTTTAGATATTATGAAGAAGCAAACACTGTTAGCGGAAGAACAAGGCATCTACGTGTTAGTGGATGTGCACCAAGACGGCCTGGCCAAGCAATTTTGTGGTCATGGCGTACCTAATGTGAGTCTTTTATTGCCAGTCAACCTGACAAAAATTAACATTAGCTTAGTGGTTTGTCCAGAAGGACTGGATTACTGGCTTTAGAAAGTTCCCATTCCCGCAGAAGCTAAAGCCATTTACTACTGACACTAACGGCTTTCCTTCGCCTGAGTCTCAATGCGGTACTATCGATTGGTCACTGAGTTACTTGTCAGTGGCTGTTGGAAATGCTTTCGGAAGGCTATACAATAATTTTAATGGCCTTGGAGACTCATTCGCTGTATACTGGAAGAAACTAGCGTCAGAGTATGTTGAAGCCACCAACGTTGTCGGTTACAATCTTCTGAACGAACCCTGGGCTGGAGACACGAACGCCGACCCAACACTCCTTGTTCCAGGTGTCGCTGATCGTAAAGCTCTGGAGGGACTTTGGAATCGGGCATCCAAGGCTATTCGAACAGTTGATAATAACACGCTTATCTGGTTCGAAGGGACAACATTTGACGTTCTTTCGGGCTTCAACAACGTGCCTCTTAGAGATGGATCCAAGACGGTGCACTCGTTCCACTACTACAACCCTCCACAACTAAGCTCTATCAGCAATACACTCTACAACCGCCATAAGGACAGCGTGCGGCTCAAGACTGCGGGTGTTCTGACAGAGTTGACCTTTTGGATGGGTGACGATAAGCAGATGAGTGCCATGGCAGAAGCCTTGACGGCAACAGATGCAAACATGGTATCATGGATTGGCTGGGCGTACGAGAACCTATACAACGGAAGTACAGGCAAGCCATATCCAGAGTTAGAGAAGCACTACAGTCGTGCGTATCCTGCTGCAGTGGCGGGGACCCCTACTTCTTTCGGTTTTGACGACAGTTCGGGTGTTTTCAAGCTCAGTTTCAGAAGCGACCCAAGTATAATCGCACCAACCGAAGTCATCTTACCAGCTTCTACCTTTCCAAACGGTTACGACGTCCAGATTGTTCCTGCAGGTAGTCTCTTACAGTACAAAAGTGACAAGCGGACCTTGGCACTGTTCACATCTAGTTCCCTACAGAAGGCCATAGATATATCTGTTACTATTACTAGTACGTCGTCCAGAAGCGGCCCATAGGTTTCTTACTAGTATACGAGTTCTATTCTAATGAATTTCCCTTACTTCACATGTAAAAAAAAATCAATTTAATAGCATGCAAGCCTGTTTTTTAAAATTGATCCACTAAGCCCATTGCACAAATGCGGGGAAACTATCCGCACGAAGAAGCACCAGAGCAAGAGTGGGGAAGGGCGTAAAAGGGATCAAATGCACTAAGCTTCAACCCAGACCAGCGCGAGGGCGTACGCCTGGGCGTCTTCTTGCTACTTATTAGTCTCAAAGGGCGAATATATCAGGGCGTAGGGCGGTTAGTATGTAAGATAAAATACGCAGAATCAAGATAACGATTCGATGGCGATTATGCCGAATTGTCATGACATCGGATACGGATTTAAACACCACGATCGAATGGGTCGTCCTTATTCCCGACGCTCAAGATTCGCTGGAGACGCGGATGAGAGTGAGAGAGTAAGTCCTCAAGCCATAACCGTGCTCGTCTATTATACAAATACTTTTCAGGACACACATCAAGGAAATGGACCAGCATGTCAAGTCGGGCTTTTTCCAGATGGGCGGAGGCACATTAGCCGGAAACGCCGTTAATGGAAGCGCTATTATTGCCCGAGCGAAATCCGAGGAAGAAATTATAGCTGTTCTCAAAGCAGATATCTATGCGCGCAGTGGAGTTTGGGACCTGGATAAGATCAAATTCATTCCAGTAGGTTTTTATGCCTGTAACTACTAACTTGACTAAACAACTGTTCCAGTTTAAATGCGTTTATAGGCGTGAGCTTATCGATCGCAATGTTATGGGTTATGGATGGGGGTTTTAATGGACTGTGGGTACCCTAGAGCCACCATTTCTGTATGTCTATATAAGCAGTGGATGCCCACCTTGGTTAGCTAGCCCCAATACTCATCACCAACCTAACATTGTCAAATATGGAGTCCACTGCTATTGTCCAAAGAGACAACAAGTTAATTGAGGAGAAAATCACTCTACCTGCCCTTAAAGAACACCAAGTATACGTCAAAGTCGAATATGCGGCATTTAATCCCACAGATCGTAAGGCCCATTCTTAATTTATCACTGGAGTGACACTCATCTTGTTAGGCCTCGCGCTTGACGTTGATGCTTTTGGCGACGGAGCAGTCCTTGGATGCGACTTTTCAGGGACAGTTATTGACACGCACCCGAGTGTGACCAAATTGAAGAATGGTGATAGTATCGCGGGTTTTGTTTGGGGAGGTGGGTTAGCCGCCTCTATTTATGTGCGTTGAGAAGCTTACATGAGAACCTAGGAGAGATTAAGGGCCTGGGGGCCTACTCGTGAGTCTTTCGAACTTTCTCTGACTGTATTGAAGTTAATCTCAATTGAAAGGACCTATACGATTGCAGACGAACGCCTTTGCTTTAAGATACCGTCAAACATTAGCCCAGCCCAGGCTTCTTCAGTGCCCTTGGCGGCCAATACAGCTTGGCTTGCTTTGTTTTCTAAAGACTGTCTAGATTTCAAGCCGGAAAATTCTGTTGAAAAAAGAACTCTCCTTATTTGGGGAGGTAACTGTATGTCCTCTATCTCGGCACGTATTTAGACGTGACATTGACTTTTGTACAGCAACTGTTGGATATTTTGCCATCCAGCTCGCCAAACTTTACAACATTGAAGTAGCCACGACCTGCAGCCCTCGAAACTTTAACAAGATGCGAGACGCTGGTGCAACCTATGTGTATGACTACAATGATAAAGATGTCATTTCCAAACTTGGTTCAGCACTGCCTAACGTTCAGCACGCTTTTGATACGATCGGGAACGAAACTTCCTCAGCAACCGTTGCCAAGGCTATGGCCAGTACAGGAGGTACGCTATGCACTGTTAGACCAGTCAAAGCGAATACACAGGATGTGCCATCACATATCAAAGTCACGGATGTCTTTGTATTTACGGCTTTTCCTACGGAGCACAGTTATCGAGGAAAGGCGTATTGGCCTGTGAGTACACCTAATTCAGCTCAAAAATGCATATAGAAACTACCGGATCAAGAAAAATACTAACATGTTTTACAGGTGAAGATGGACGATCATGAGCTCAGTGCTGAATTTCATAGCGCCATGGAGATGTGGCTTCATGATGGATCTGTACGGCCAGCATCGATACGGTCTATGGGAGGGCTAAGCCCGTCTACGATTCAGGAAACAATGAATCTTAATCGTGAGGGTGATATTTCTGGTGAAAAGGTTGTCTTCAAGGGCTTTCCTTGAAGCCATACAAATCAACTTGACAATTCCCTGTACTTTGAAGATACTTAATTTCGTGTTAATCTGGAAGGTGCCCTCGATAACAAACTACCTAAAATTCCTTTCAGGCTTTTAAGGACATCCAAGCCGAACCTCTAGTTCCTTAGCAACCCGTTCAACAACTGATTCCAAAACAATACCAGTCTGCCAAGTAATACTCAATGTTAAAGGGCCCCCCTTAACACTCACACAATTGAAACCCAGAGCAGGACCAGCCACAAAACCACACTGCGTAAAAGCCAACCTTTCAAGCCTGATACCACTACCCTCTGGAGGCATTATACTGGAAGTTGATCCCAGATTCGAAAGCTCATAGGTGTATTGTCTCTTTTGCCCGCTTTGACTTTGGCACTGTTGCAGAGGATCCTCAATTTGACTGAGTTGCCCTGCCATGTTGCTCCCGTGTGGGAACGCTTTGACCTTGTTTACTAGGTCATGGCTGAAGAACCTTGCGAGTTCCGAAATCCCCTTTGCATCCGATTCGGAAAGTCCCTCATGAGTAACTGCCCTGTCAAGTTCTGTATGGGGCACATAAGTAGTCAAATACGAGACGTGATTGAGGATCTCGCTTTCGAGAGCCCCTGTATGCTGTCGTATCTGAAAGGGTGTTACCGATTGGAACCCCTGTTCAGAACCCTGGATCATTCGATTGTTGGTGAGCGCGTGACGGAGAGCGATGCATATATATGCATGCAAGAGTCCTGTCAAAGTGGCCTTGGCCCGCTTGCACCTTTGAAGAAGACTAGATAATCCTTCTTGGGGAACCGTGATTATGTGAACGCGACTCTGGAAGCCAATTACCGGGATTGAAGAGATATTACCACCCGCCCAGACCGCCGGAGTAGTCACCTTTTGCGTATCGCAAATTGCACACTTGCATGGGGAAATATCCATGCATTCCTCGACCGCTGGTGGAATCTTCTGACTTTCATCCAACTCTAGTGGCCAGTTAGACGACAGGCTTGGGTCTGGAACAAATTTGAGATTTTCCATGAGTGAGGTATGGAAGGCAATCCCACTGAGACCATCAGCGATTGCATGGTGCGCAAAGAATGCAAGATCCAGCCGCGGGACAGTGTTCAATCCTTCGGCCAAATATTCAACGACAATAGCTTTCCATGCCGGCTTTCCAGGTAACCATAAATTGGTGTGGAATTTGCCAAGGACTTCAGAAAGAGCCCTATCAGGCGCAACGCTTTGCTGGCCGGGAATAATTTCTAGGACATCCTCTTGGTCAATTCTCCGAAGTTGCTCAAACATTGGGATCCCTCTATCCATCTGTTCAGAAATGCCATAACGCAAGCCGGAATGTTGTCGAATTGTTGCCTGTATGGCAACCATCAAAGCCGAGCGAAAGGCTTGGTGGCCTGGAACTTTATTTTTCAAGTTGAAGGTGTAGGTTGCTGTGACACATGCTGAGCGGTATTGTCCTAGAGTATGACGGGCAGAGTAGTACCGCCCTAGTATACCTGATGAGATATTTTGTTAGTGTTTGAATTTACAGGGAGAATGGGCACGCGTGTTATGCCTGGTACTAAGAACGAATGGGCTGTAGTGCTTTTGATAGATAATGTGAGAAAGGTTTGTGACCTTTGGCTAATTAACATACCTAGAGACACAGCATTCCGTTCTGCCATTGGGGACAGTCGACTGTTTGTGATATGGAGGCACAGATTCATTAAGGACAAGTGGAGGGGATCCGGCAGTTTTTAAAGCTCAAACTGAGATATTTTTAGCCCCAAGCCCCAAGCCCCAAACCCCTCTCCGTATTATCCGAAATTCTCTGACTCGCCATGTGCAAGGGTGAAATTGTTAAGTAATCAAGATTCTGTCAGCGCTGAGGGTGACAGATCAGCCAAGGACTGTGTTATATTTACAGCTGCTGGAAAGGACTTTAATGTCCAAGTTCAGAACCCCTCAATTTATTTTATATTGTCCACCTCATTCATCTATGTCAACGACAACACCCCATTCATTATCTTCAGCCCCAAACATAATATCATGCAGCCACCCCTTTATTAACGTGCCGAACTCGGCCTTGTCCCCTTGGTGCTGTGGCAGATCGATGTTTTGATCACCAAATCGGATGGTCGATACACGTTTGATAAAGAACTGCAGTTGTAAGTCAGCCTATATTACCCTAGGACCAACACAGTTACTTACCGCAGTTCCAGAGACGAATGCCTCGAGGAGAAGGCCGTCTCTCCAAGCATCGACGAGATCATTTGCGGTAAATTTAACTTCCCTCACCTCAATTTCCCCGTTGAGTCGACTCTTTACCAAGTCCAAGACGGATCTTCTAGTCACTCCATCGAGAATAACTTTTCCTGTCAAGGGTGCTGTCATTAGCACAGGTTTTGAAGTCTGTGCATCCTTCACAACCGCAAAGAAGTTGCTAGCACCCGCTTCCGTCACCTCGCCATCTTGACCGAAAAGCCATAGAATCTGATCATAGCCAGCTCGCTGTGCCTCGCAATGAGACGCGAAGCTAGGTCCATAGTTGGCACCGACCTTGGCATAGCCGAAGCCACCAGGCCACGCCCTGATGGTATCATTCTTAGAGGTGATCAGACGCAGATCTGACCTTGGTTCTTGTCCTGGAGGGGACTCCGACGAGAAGTCAGGCCAACAAACCATGGTTATCATTAATGCGGCTTCTTTTGGAATTTGAACGCCTAATTGAGATCCAGTCCCGATCAACGCAGGTCTAATATAGCGAAAGTTCCCGGGCTCTGGTAGCCATTCTGTTAATGCTCATCAGCAGTAGTCCCCAAAGCGGAATGAGATGCAATGGGACCGACTATTAGCATCAACTCGGACTAAAGCTTTGATCAACTCGACAAGCTGCTCAGGATCAAATTCTGGTAGCGAAACTCTCTTTGCGCTTGTGACCAAGCGCTTTGCATTGCGATCCGGTCTGAAGAGTCTGACGCGATTGTCGAACCCGCGATAGACTTTCATGCCCTCGAAGCATTGGGTGGCATAGTGAAGGCATGATGCAAGAGGGGAAATCGTCAAGTCTCCGAATGGCTTCAGTGCTGGGGCGTCCCAACCGCCATCCACTGTCCAGCGACAAGTGACCATGTGATCAGTCGCCACATTCTGTGCCCAAAGTTCAGCGGATCCAGGCTTTGGAACCAGCCTGGAAGTGGATGTCAGGTGGAATTCTAATCGGCTGGCGTCAAGCTGCCGGTGAGCCTGAGTGTTAGAACCCATGATTATCGTAAAGCTGTGAAGAAGTTGTAGGAAAATAAGATAAATATTTGTTGTCAATTTTATGATACAGTTAATATGTTATACCTTTGCTCCCAGTCCCAGAGTAATCGGCTTTACTAGTGCCGACCCTAACACCGAGACATCTCAACCCTTTGAAGTGGGGTAGGGCGCATCGTAGGGCGTAAATAGATTTTGCGCCCTTTGCCAATATTTGCACTACACCACCCTTCCTTGTCTTTTTGCGTGTTGGCCCAGTCTTTGATTATAAGTTTCAGTATGAGTGTAACAGGCTCTCCACGCATTGACCAGCCTGTTGTTGAAGGCGACTGGCTCTTATGGCTTCACAACACCGAAGACGTCCTGGGTGATGACGGCAGCGCTGCCCATTTCAATCCCACTGATGATTCATCCATCGGCGGGCCCTTTCGTTCAGGGTCTAACCACCAGCGTAGTGAATGTGATAGGGCTTCTGAAGACACTTCAAATGAATATGCACCACCATCCAGTGATGCTCTCACCGAAGACACGTCATGGCTATTGTCGAGCGCATACTATGGACCACCATCCGACTCATCTGCCGGGTCGATTGACTCAATTCCTTCCTCTATAAGATTGGCTTCTCGATCACGAAGAAGAAGGAAGCAGATGAGCCAGCAGATGAGCAACAAACAAGACGGCGAGAGGGCTAAAAGAAGATACCAGTGCACATTTTGTACAGACGCTTTCAAGACAAAGCATGATTGGCAACGACACGAGACGACGATGCACCTGAGTCTTGAGCAGTGGAGGTAAGTCACTATACGCCCAGATATAGAGACGCGAAATTAACCCCCAAATTACAGATGCTCAAGATACGGCCCAACAATAAACCGCCCGGACGGAAAGACTTACTGCGTCTTTTGTAACTGTCCTGACCCTACAGCCGAACATCCTGAGCTGCACAACTACGCCGCCTGTGTCGCCCAGCCCGAGGAAGCTCGACTATTTCACCGCAAAGACCACCTGAGACAACATCTACGCCTATTCCACCAAGGATGCAACATCAACGACTCCATGAAGAGCTGGCTTTCGTCTGTAGATGATGTTGTATCTCGTTGTGGGTTTTGCGACGAACAGATGGCCTCGTGGACCGAGAAGCAGAAACACCTCGCCGCCCACTTTCGCATGGGCTCTGATATGAAAGAGTGGAAAGGTGACAGAGGGTTTGATCCTCAGATCGACGAAATCGTAGAGAACGACATGCCTGCGTTTTTGATAGCCGACCAGCGACGCACCATGGAGCCGTTCTCAGCTTCGCGGGCTGACCATCGTGCGAATAAACTTTCGGATCCTGTCAGCACAGACTCGAATATTCTCGGACCTGGACTGGTCAACAAGGAATTAGAAGTACACAACACGGGACACTCTCATCGTGAGGTAGAGCAACAGCTGTTACGATATGTGTCTACGAGTATTTCCCAAGGCCATGTGCCCTCGGATCAACAGATACAAATAAAGATGAGTGGGATTATATATGGACCGGATAATACTTGGGACAATACCTGGGCGGATAATCCCCAGTGGTTGGAAATCTTCAGGAAGAAGGCTGGTTTGATTAGCTTGCCATTGAGTGGAGGCAAGAATGCATTTATCGGATTCTGAGAGCTAGATTACAGTTCCGTTACGGTATAATTTACTGTCGTCAGTATGCCCATCTGCGTGTCTATGGCTTCTCGGTGTGTATCCTGAGGGTATATATTACCTTTATGGAAGGCATAAAATGGCAAGAATGTTATCACGGCAACGTCAACATATATCAGAAGCAAAGAAGCGCAGATAGTTAAATAGCGGGAGATTGGAGAAGATTAGATAAACCATTTCACTTCAGGAGTGAACCGAGGGATCTGTTGAAGACAGGTGAGATTTAGGGCATTCCCTATAAACACTCCAATTTAAACATAATAGGATCGCGAGATTTTATTCAAGTATAAAGCTGGGCAATCTAATGGGAGGGTTACTTCACTCTTGATCAATACTAGACTACTTAGTATGGCATCTCCGTAATTGGTGGTGGGAAGCTTTTCACTGTGTGGCCTCCGTCAAATGCCTGGAGGGTTACATGTCCTGGCGAGACAAGATTGAGGAGCCACATGACTAACAAGATACAAGCCACGCGAAGCTGCGGCCAAGTGAAATGCTCAGAACGACGAACCTTTTCCATCCAGGCGTACCTCGGCTCCTCGTACTCTTTGTCTTCGGCACCATCGTCCATGATTATGTTGACTATGTGTGCTGTTGACTTGGCCACTGAATCACTGATCCAGAGGAAGATTGGCACGATCACAGCTAGAGTTCTCCATCGATCTCCTATGAATGTACCATCGCCAAAGAATCCATCCACAATCAGGATACCATTAGTATCTGCCGCTAAAAGTAGATGGAACTGGAGGATATATGTCTCTAAAGAACACCGGCCTAGCCAGGCCATGGCCTTTGAGTGATAATTTCGGACTGGAGCAGAAACATTACGCAGCGCGATGTAAGAAAGAATTGGAATGAATGAGGCAAGTGGGTGCCACATCCGGTATTCTCTCATCGTCACAGGCGATGTGGCGTTGAAGTAATAGCCAATTGCAAAGATCCCACCAACTGCGAGAATAATACGAAGACCCAGATGTATCGCAGTCTTTTTCATCTCGTGGTTGACAACAGCTGTAATCATACCGACATACACGATAAAAATATCGAGGGTGACGCGGTACTGCCATTCATTGACACTCCACTGGATATTGAACATGACCTTCAACAGGTTAAACATCCACTTGGTAAAGGGTGTTTTCAAAAGGATGACAGAAACCACAAAGCAAGAAATACAAATCTTAGCCAGCAGTATCTGTGGATCGCTGTTATACTGACGTGAGCCAATTGCCATGGTGGCATAAACTACTAGGAACCAGAATGAGACCAGAGGTGAGAAGTAGTAAAACATGTAGTCTGTGTCCATGAAGTACGCCAGCATACAGCTGAGAAGGTTCAATCGCAAAAGGACAGAGGCAACGCGGTTGAATGAGAAATCTCTCTTGTTGATGAAGTAGAGCGTATGTCCATATCCGGTCTGAAAAAGATATGCGCCCACACATAGGCGGATGAAAACATAGATGGTGTCGCTCTTGCTTCCAGTCCAGTGGTAAATAAGAATAACAAACTGCATCCAACCCTTCCACTCATCAGTTTGGAATCGCGAAAGGAAGGGCTCATCTGGTTCATCTGTTACCAGGGCTAGTTCCTTTGGGGGAAGTGAATGAGAACGTCGAATCGTGATGAGCAGGATAGAAATACAGGGTGCCACGAGAGCAGCAAAGTCTAGTGGTAGCCAGAGTTTGCTTCCCTTTGCCATCATTTGTGTCCGATCAGCATAGTAGCACATGAGAAGCCCGAGGACAAGAGATCCTGCTTTCATGTTCCATAAACTCCAGCGTGGTTCATCTCGTTTGGCACAGATATCGATGATTTCGCATACAATACATGCGACGAGGTAGACAAGACCAACAAAGACAACGCCCAGCTGGGACATTGGCTTGACGCCGTAGTCAGTACAGCAGGTTCGTGAATAGGGATACGATTTCATCCGATCAAGCTTGGCGTTGCACCTCAGATTGAGGAGAATATTTGCTCGAGCATCTGCAACCTGACTCCTGACGTGGAGTCCTGTGAAGAGCGGATCGATCCAGACTTTATCCTGTCCAAATGTGAGTCTGGGGATTGCCCAGACAAGAGGAATCTTCCATTTCTCCTCGACCCCACTCAGCCAATCTTGCATCTCGATGACCTCAGCCGCTCGCCGATTTGCATCGCGTATATGTCCGGCGTCATCTCCAATGTATAAAGGTCCTGCGGGGGGGGCATAAAAGATCTGATTTCCCAAACCATCGATTGGATCCAGTGGGGCTGTGAAAGGGTCATAGTCGGGTGCATTCTCGCTAATAAAATTCTCAATCTTTGAAATATGCTCTTTATATATCTTAAAGCGTTCTTCCCAAGGAACGACTGATGTTCGGTTGGTATTGGCCTCGCTGTTTGGCCCTGTCGTTGCATCAGTCTTGTTGGTTGCGTCGGTCGAGTTGGTCAGTTTGGCAGCTGCGGTTGCATTGGCGGCCAATTCGAGCTCATGCTTTCTTATCATACTGTATTCGTTGGTGAACCAGACGCCTCCCGCCACATACATCAGCATGGGGCCTTGCTGGCCTTCAATGGATGGAAGGCTATGCTTTTCATCTGCGTAGACATTGATGGCTTGGGCAAATTGTGCTTGGCCTTCGGTGCCATGAGAAGAGAGCCAGACGTTGGGAAGACGCTGGATAAGCTGGCCATGGTATGTCATATTAAATGCTTGAGACTTTGGCATTTTCTTTGCCTTTCGGTCGTGGTCGTTATGCTTTCTATCGATCTGGACGTAATGTAATATTAGTATCAGTAGTAGGAACAGAAATGGTTTCAGACGTGCTTACCAGACGGCCAAAGCCATGAGCGACATTTCGAGAGGTAGAATCACCAACGACCACTATCGGACGACCTTCCGTACATCGGCGGATATCTCCAGATTCATAGTGGTGGAGAATGCATCCGTCCGGTTGCCATTGATGGAACGGATTTCTGTTGCCTTCTTCATCTCGCGGCGGATCAATCCAGCGTCCTGTGTCCTTCACAGCACGGCAACGATAGGGGTCATCGCCAGGGGAAACAGTCTTGAAGGTAATAGCTACTAAAAAGATTGTTGCAAGGGCGGTAGAGATAATTCTGGCTAATGGGAGACTCATTTTAATGGAACAGTGAGGTTCTTGAGGTAGCTAACCTTAACACAAGGATGATAGAGAGGTCACAACAATGCATTCAGAGGATGCGTCGTCTTTGCGGTTCCAGACATCACTCTATTTAAAATGACAGAAAGGGGATGTCTCTGCCCCTTGCCAAGCCCAATACATGCCTCGTTATTACTGAAGTCCAAATAAGGCAAGTAAAACACTCGTCTGAGTCAAGTGGCAATATATAGAACGCATACCACGATTTGCGCAGGGCGACACGGGAATAATCAGGGAGAAGATTTCCATTCCTAGGGGCTCTTGGCGTAAGGTAGCTATTTTATCTCAATTCGATAAGCCTATGTGCCACATAACAAGCTACATCGTTTGGGTCCAAGTTTATCGAATAAGCTTACTTGCTTCGCTCGCCCTGATTGTCTGCGACAAATGGTGGCTTTGTTAAAAGGGACGATTGTTCTGGATAAGTGGATGTTGTCTCAAGCCATGGTTTTCCTGACGCCGCCCTCCTGAAAAGAGGGAAGAGTGTGACGGCAAGTGCACCATAATATGTCTGATATGTGCCGAAATCACAAATTGTCTAGTGCCAAAGATCCTCGTCCAAAACGCAGTGCTTTACTTAGGGTTGACATTTATAAAAGATTGTTGATTGAGTAGCAGTATTGACCTGTGGCTTGTTCGACTAAGACGTGTCTGTATGTACTACAGCCTCCGTGATAAAAATGTCTCAGTGTTCCTACAGATTGCCTCGCTAAGGAATGCGGAACTAGCAGTCCATTTTTTTACCCGTTTTGCCGGGATCAGTAGTTACATTTTCTGCGGAATGGAGGTAGATATTAGTCTACTACGTCTTTAGTTATTCTTGAATCATCGGCTTGCATGTGACTTGAGGTTCAGTGTATTTTCCTTTTAGTGATACCTCTTGAGGTAAAGCCCGAGGATGTTAAAGGCACTCAAGTTATTGGCCACCGTACAATTAGGCATCCGATTTCCCTGCAGTACCTAGTAAGGCGGGGCTAATCCTGAACCCTATTCCGCTGTCCACGCTTACGCTACTAATGAAATATATATTTCCTTAAATTAAGTTAATTTAAATTGGTTATCTCACTGTCTGAACTAATGTAAACTTTGTACCTTTATGTATCCAATCTAACTTAGTACAGGGTATATATAGCTATACATTAGGAGAACGTATTTTCATATAGGGTAGTATTTAATTTTTCTCTTAAGAGAGAATAGCGTTTTCTTATGCTATCATAACCCCTATTAATAAGCTCATTGGTAAGATAAAATATCCATCTAATTTAAGTCAAACCTTATTAAATCAAGTGAGTTCCAACCATTTTATAAAGTAAACTAATTCCAAGGGTTCTTAATTAAATTCCTAGAAAATTAATTTAAAACTCGCTTTATAAGGAGCGCTGGTTTTTACTGGTATTATGTGGTCTACATCCTTGCCGGGTTCGATTTCCGGACCGCCAGCAGCGAACTGGGGTTGCGTTTACAGGGTACGGATGCAAGGGCCGGCCGGACCGTCTCTACTAACCGTAATATCTCCAGATTTAGCCTGCCGCCAATTTCACTTCATCCATTTAAAGAGCATTAAGAGCTGGTATTTAAACTATTTCCATTTAATTATGAACCTTTATCTTCTTCTATTCCACCTGAGTTTCCTAAGGCCCTAATTTTGCCAGTAAATATACATGCCTATTACACCCTTCGACAAACAGGCCTTGTTACAAGCCCTTCGCGTGCTCGACAAGAACTCCTCGGTGCTAGTGGTTTAGCATGTCGTTAACGAGGAAGTAGCAATTCATTTTCGACTATATCTGCCTTGACCTTTTTACCGGACAGAGCTAATACTATCTGCTTTATTGTTATAGGTGCTATGGGTAATCATATAGTAAACTACTATGAACATTACCCATGCCGTTCTTTTTCTAACTTAATTGTAGTAGCTCAACAACCTGGTCTTAAGATATAGGCAGTCAGGTGGTGGAAATGAAATAGGTTTTGCGCTGTGCAGCGTGAATTAGGTGGCGATAGAAAGTCTGATCAAACGCCACGCCGCAGAAAACCCCAATATACCTCTTATTAGCTGGTCATGTAAGTGCACACTGCGGCTAAGAATGAAGCGCGTATATTTACAACACGGCTGACATCTCCCATTACCATGTAAAGTAGCAAACAGAGCTTAGGTTTTACTTATCCCGTTATAGGATAGATTTAGAATGGACTGAACCATGCGGTTTGTACTGTTTCGGAAAAGGTTTATTAGAGATATATCTAGATCCGTGTTTCTTTTATAATATTAAGTAAGTATAATATTATCTCTGGGATTAGTTATATATTCTTAGAAGTAGATACTTAATAGTATAGTCTGTTTAGAGCAAACGAATCGACTACAAAAGAAACCGACAAGTCGTTTATAAGCTCTTATTAAGTCCTAGCAAGGCAGACGTTGAGGATTGAAGCTATGGGCCGGTCATCCAAAAGAAGCAGCGGCAAATATGGACAGTAAATTGGAATACCATCTCTGTTGTAAGGAGTCAAGGACTTCCCGATCCAGTATAAGCAAATATTGAGATTTACAGTTAGCCCGAAATAAAGAGACCTCTCCAAAGGTCGTAGGCTCAGATGGGGTATATAGGTCAGGTCCGCTCAACAGCAAATCATACCAAATCCTCCGTTCCATCTCTCGGCGTAACTGCGCTAAGCCCGACTTGGCCATATAAAGACAAGTGCCTGAGCCGCTCACGTCGAAGCTCCACATACAGCCCAGTAAGCAGCAGATTTCGCCGTATCAAGAAGGTATAGACTTCTTAGATGCAAGAGTTAAGCAATCTCAGTCGTATAGCTTCTGTAGATACTGAAGCGAATGTTTTTAGTATTGTCTCGATGGGAAATGCCTCCGTTGACAGACCAATGGTTCGCCTTGTTTTATATATTGCTGTGGTTGCCCATACCAACTGTACAAAAAGCTCAAGCTTCCAGTTCTCAACGACCTTTTGGCCATGGACATCAATGTAGGCTTTCACCCTCGTGACGTGGGGTGTTAATGCGTAAAGAAAAGGGACCGAAAAGACCATCGAGATTCAGCCTCAAGCCCAAGTTCCATTGCTGTCTCGCCATTCCATCAGCGCTAACTCTAATAAGAAGGCATGTGAAAAGGCTTGTGATTCCACTCAATGCTTGACGTTTTGGTGGCTTCAGGTGCCAGGTTCTGCCAATCATGTCCGTGCAATCCAGCCACAAACGTAAAGCTAGTAGCGAAGATGAGGCGAATTTGGCCTGACTCGAGCACGAGAGGACGCTGAGCTTTGACGTGAAACGGTAGCTAATCAAATGAATTCATATGATGTGTCAGGTTTTCGAGAAAGCCACGACACAAGCATATTGTTCAGCAATCAATAATGAATAACGGAAATCTTGAACGGTATAATGACCGACGCGACTATCGAAACTCAGTTTCCCGAAGAGGAAGGTCTTTCATTCCCGCGAATGGGAGCTACCTCCGGCTCCAGCAGTTACGTCGATCCCCCTGTGATTGTGGGGTTGTCTTTGGTTTGGGGATGTCGCTGCTTGGAACGTATTGGAGAGACTCGTGATGGCTGTATCAAATTTTGCGGGGTTAATTTCTCAAGTTTTCAGTTTAAAAGATTGATAACTCTGGGATTGACAATATCTTAAGACGCGACATGTGACAGTGATGGATGGACAATAATTTGATTGTGCTCTCGCTGCATCTATCTCAATCCTTCTGCATGCCACCCATGCAACATATCGGCCAGTATGCATCTGCTGTATTTGTTGGTGATATGGGCTTGGCTCGCATGCCAAGTGTCGTGTGCTGAGTTTTCAGACTTTCTCACTCAGATTCCTGACTGTGCCGTATGCCAATCCTCTAGCGGAAGCAAGCGACAACACTTGATGCTGACACTTTGTTTTAGGAGAGCTGCCTTGCTGACTTTATCTCTAATTCTTGTAGCACAGATGCAGCATGTCTCTGTGCCGACCCGAAGCTCAAGACTCAAGTGCTGGGATGTGCTGAAAGCAATTGCCTGCCCAGAGAAGCTTTAGGTGAGTGGCTGTAGTTTATGTGGCGTTGATGTACGGAGTACACTGACCGAGCTGTAGCAACGATAAATTTGACCTCGGTAGCTTGTGACTTTCCTGTACGGGACAAGCATAAGCAATTCGACATTCTGACTATCAACTTGATCATAATCACCGGGATTGTGGTCGGACTGCGGTTTTACGAAAAAATACAGTATGACACCGGGCCCCAGCTGGACGATTATGTTGTCGCAGGCTGCTTTGTAGGTGACCCTTTCCAGTCGTCCTTGAGTGATTGCAAACTCACAGGATGATGAATAGCTGGTAGACTTGGGAAACTCGATTGTCTGCCTTCATGGTCGTAAGTAGAATATTACCACCCAACTCATGAGATCAATGCTGACAAATAATGTCAGTTTCACGAAATGGCCTAGGTAGGGATGCATGGCAGCTCAGCCCAGATACAATCACGGCTTATCTTTGTGTTTGTAACCCAACCCCTTTCCCACGGTATTCACTAACAGTCTCAGTTCCTCTATGCTGGCCAGACGCTATACGCCACGGACGTGTTCGCCACCAAAATCTGCGTCCTGCTCTTTTATCTCCGCATTTTCCCAGGCGTCACCATCCGACGACTGATATGGGGAACAATTGGCACCGCGACGCTCAGTATGGTCATTTTCGATGTTCTAGCACTTATACAATGTCAGCCCATTAGCTTTTACTGGAAAGGCTGGGACCAATTGCATCAAGGACATTGTATTGGAATCAACTCTTTGGCATGGGCAATCGCTGCAGTAGGAATTATTATGGACTTTTGGATACTTGGCATCCCGATTTCCCAGCTTCTTCACCTCCAAATGAAATGGAAGAGGAAACTTGCAGTCGCTTCGATGTTCTGTGTTGGTACCTTGTAAGTCTAACGATCACTTCCATGTTCTATTAACTAACCTTTGGCTAGTGTTACGGTCGTGAGTATCTTAAGGCTGCGGTATCTGGTAGCGTTTGGTAACTCTTCGAACCCTACTTGTAAGCCATTCACCACCTCACCAAGGTTCACAATCTCTAACGCTTATCACAGGGGACAGTTACGACACATGTTATTGGTCTGTAATAGAACTCAACGTTGGGATCTGGTGTGTCTGCATGCCGAATCTCCGTGTTCTGATTCTCAAGGCATTCCCGAGACTCAGAAGCTCCATCAACGCCGGCCCAAGTAACGCTCAACACGGATCTTCCGCGGCAATTCAGCAAGAGGGGACGTCGCACAGTAAATCGGTGCAAAATGATCATACTATCTATAAAGCAAGGTCTTATCAGGAACATAAACCAAGAGCTTCATCAAGCACAGCTGAGTTAGTTGAGATGACGACTTTTACAAATGATAGTAGAAGTCTGGTATAGATCAGTGTCTAGAGCAGTATATTGTATTTACTTACCTACCTGTTCTTCCAATCAGCCATAACCTATCCGGTTCCGGTCTATCAACTAGTTAAAGTAGGGCGTTACTTACACCCGTCTCTTTATTGGGTCCCGTCTTTTTCGTTCCTAAAGTCAGTTGCGTTTCCAGTTTGAGACCCGGCTCAGCTTTTTTCAGGAGGTTCACCTTGAACTCTCCCGAAAGACTAAGTTAGGCTCTTGACTTTGCTCGGTGTCGTCGTAGTGGTGCCAGCATGCGACGCAGAGCTCGCCTTCGCCTCAGCTATAGAAATACTTCTGACTTTTTGCTTCCCAGTCTTCGGCATATTGCCGGTTTACTCGGTCAGACTTGTTATAGCCCAATCTTTTGGACGTGCTGTTGTTCTTCTTCCAGCTTTCTGACCAGTCTTCCAGTTCCGGACTTTTAGTGTTTCGATCGGCCATGACATGGATCCATCTCATTCCTCCTTCAGATCCGCTCATACTATTATCACGCATCTCGAGATTGATTGAATTAGTGGTCTATAGCTGATGGAGGTATCAGATAGGTTATCGGCCGTGATGAGCATTTACGACACTGGACTTGGACATTGTTTACTGGCGTGGAGCTTTCAAGCGCAAAGTCATAGTTGTGCCTAGGGTAGATCTTCGCCGTAAAAACGTACCGGGTTAGCTAGCAGGAATAAACAACTCTATGGAAATGTGGTAAATATGATGTTAACAGTTTGGGAGCGAGTGGTTGCTGGCATGAGTGTGAATGATTGTGAGGGAAGAAGTTGAGGGGGTAGAATGCCAGCATAATGACCATGAGCAGTGAATACAACTAATATCAAAACAATAAATACAATGAAGAAAAAGAAAACCTCTTCATAAAGCCCCTTCACGTTGCACCGACGAGTCTTTATCTGACTCCTTTCCTGTTTTCATCCTCGCTGTTTCCATACTTGCCAAAAAAAAGTCCAACTGTTAATGGCTGGACACGAGTTAGATTGTGATTTATCACGTGACGGAAGAATCACGTCAATAAGCTAAAGTCAGCACTAGGGACGGAAACGCAGTGAATCTAACCCATTTTGACGGTCAACGATGAGTGGCCGATTAGGACAATGATAATTCTTATGATTCATTACGCGCGGTAGCCTGCGTGAGATGCGTCGCTGATCTTACCAGGGTATTGACTAATTATGATGGCATCTAATATGATGAAGAAGATCTATCTCATATCATAACGAAAGAAATTTACGGAACCCAATGCGTCGAGGTGTCAAATAGGTTAAACAAAGACTACGTACTTGTTGACAGGGAATGAGAGCCTCGGGATGGGTTAAAATTGCAGTGAAATAAAATAAAAAACTCATGGATCGGCGAGAACGTGGATCTTTCAGACGCGGCTAGCGCGAGAGACCACTTACATGTCTACATGTGTAAATACCTAGTGGTTGGCAGCCGGACCCTACAGGCCGCGCATAATCGTCCAGATGGCCATAAGTGCCCCGGGTATAACCGTATCAAACCAGACTGTATTGAGTCTCAATAGAAAGCCATGTAATTCAGTCCGGTCAGCTCCAAAGCATGAAAATCCGGGTTAGGGTATTATGCGCAGTAGCAAATGATATACCATTGATAAACATAAGTCCGGCGCGGATCTTCCTTGTGCACCTCATTCGAGGTTCTATAATCTGTTCCTTTACCAGCTTTGATCTCTAGCCATATCGATGCTTTCCTTTGGCCAGGTGGGTCTCTTGATTCCATTCTGAGTGTTACAAGGGCCTGGGAATCTCGAGCCGAGTAAGAATCACATGGCTTGGGCTTTGCTTAAGTTATATTTGGCGTAATTCTTTATATAAAGAATCACGATAATGGACTTTAATTTAATATCTTTTATCAATCCTCCCCACGGTACAATTGTATCATGGCTCCAATCTCTGCTTTTACCTAACAGCTGAAATACTGTCTCATTCTCACTAAAATCCGACCGACACCGATCGGTAGTGGGACCTTCAATATCCATTATGATGATGTGCAATTAGATCTTGGCGAGCGGAAGACATTCATCTTCCCACCTCAGACCAAGACTCCACTGAAGCTACCATGGGCAACGAGCGTAGCAAACTTCCGGAATTAAGTAGGCGGGAGATCAGCCAATTTTAGCCTAAGACAGTGCGGAGTTTTTTAACACGCCGAGGTCTGGCTAGGCACTCATACCAACAGACGTTAGAAACCCTCCTTATCATGCAACTATCAACTGACATATGCATATGCATACAATGCTTGTCCTACCAGGTGGCGCATTGCCTTCCGATTGGTGCGTTTGGCAATGGCGTTACATACTTATCTTAGCAGGTGCCATTCAACCAACAGAAGCAGGGATCTCAGAGCGGGGGCTTCATTATTTAGAGCACCACGGCACGCTTATCTTTCTGACGTTTTCAAGTGTCTTCGAATTACTGTCTTAGCTCGGTCAAATTCAACGTCCTTTTAACTTATACCCTTCGATATAGCTGCCGAAATCATTGCAAGAGCCAGAACGTCAGCGAGACGTCTCTGCCGTCCTAGACAGTCATCGTTATAAACTACTAGTGGAATTCCTTAGAACTCTAGATACCGTTTCGATAATACAAACAACCTGGTGGCGTCTACTAGAGGACTAGAACTATAACTTAAAGACTTGACTTTTAAGATAAGGCCTTTTCCTCATCAAGTCACTGCAGCATGGCTCGCGCCCTATTTCTGTTTGTGGGTTCACGCGAGCAAGGACCGCAAATTGGCCTGTCTGAGTGTGGAAGGCATACCTGAACACTCGATAACGATCGTTTTAGGAAGGGACCTAAGTAATATGGAGTTCTTATGAAACAAAGGCATGGTCTCTTCTATTGTTGTCATTGATATAGTGTTGTGTTCAGTTAGTAAAAGAAATTATGAATTGTTAAGTATTTAAGTTTGCAATGCGAAATTGAAATTTCCCACGAAATCTAATTTCTATAGGTATATTAACAGATCTTATACTATTTACTATTATATTAGCATAAATAACGATGTCTAGTGTTAAGCTTTAAGGTATACTTGGGTTCAAGGTAGGTATGTCTGTTTTGTAAGTATAGTCAGGAACTTGTAAACAGTCACCTACTTTACATATTAAATGCGATGCGAAACATTTTAGTATTACATATAGGAGCTTTCGATACTATAGGATATATTAATCAATCTTGCTTTTTTGAGAACTGTCTAGCGGGGCGGTATTAATTGTCCGTGTCCGTGGGTGTGTTGGATTCTACTACTGGTATAAGCTTACTTTGCATACTAGTAAAACGTATTGAACTTAGTCCTGCAAATAGAAAGATGTGTGCAGAACAACCAATGAGTTTCATTCCGGTTAACTATAAAAATAGGTATTCATTCGGAAGAGCCGGAATCAATAAGCTTATAAATAAGCCCAATACTTTCCACCCTCTCTACCGATTTGAATCCTGAAAGCTCTTATTTATTCTCGCACATAACTCTCCTCAGGTACACAATTATCCTTAGCTTGCTATTGATTATTATGCTTGTCACTCTTATTACTTATTTACCTGCTTTAGCTGCCTGTGTGATAGCATCCCCGACTTGGACTCCACGGCCTGAGCTGAAATTACTTTATCAATCCAACCTTACCTTACACTAGGAGAGACTACCTCTTTTGGGCTTGGCCCTCAGGGAAATAGGTTGTCTGTGCCTATCACTGGGGGATGGTTTAAGGGCCCGCGACTTTCTGGTATGCTACCTAGTGAGAAATGCCCGTAGCTGTGCGCTTATCGAGATATAGGCATGGTTCTTGATGTTGGGGCTGATTGGGGCACTACTAATGCCGTGGGAAAATTCACGGCTAATGCCTATTACCAACTCCAGACTAACGACGGCGCGAACATTTTCGTACATGCAGCTGGGCCTGGTCAGCCTTTCTCTCATGTGACGCTGGAGACTGGGAGTGAAAAGTATTCCTGGTTGAATGATATTATGGTTATTGCTGAGGCAACTCTGGGGGACGGTTTCATTTTGATCAATGCCTGGGAGCTTGTTTCTACTTCTTAACTATGTTGTAGGCACCATGCTAGCTAGCTACGTTCTTTAACTGTTTTAGTATCGTTTGTGTTCCTAAAACTCAGAGCTTGTCACCCCCTAGCTATCCGAATACACTCCACCTTCTGCTACCCTTAATTTCTCTTATCATTTACTATTACCACACCCTCTGTCATGATACTGCTTGCATCGAAATTATGTCTTGTCTAGCCGGTACGTTCGGCGACCAGCAGCGTCAATCCTCCAGGAAGGCCATATATCGACGTGCATTAAGATCTCTTGGACAATCACCAGCTTATATGAAGTACATAAAAAAGCTAATTTCGTTCCTGCTTGAAGTGTTTAATTCCGTTTTCAATCGAACGTCTTCCGAGATCTTGTATCAACTGCGATCCTCCTACTTTAATACTAGAGATTGGGCTGTAACTAGAACTGTTACTTGGAATTAAATGCTCGATCAATGCGGAACGCTTTAGGTAGCCAATGCGGCTCTGAACACTCCATCATTTCTACCAACGCCTCTGAACACTTATAAGCAAATGCCACTATTCATTTATGTCAGTGTGGGTTCATCGACAGATACGAGTATACATACTTCCGTGACCGTTCATCCCGACAGATACCCAAAGCCCTGGCTGTCCTGGGGCCTCACCAACAAGTGGGAACGAGTCTGGCGTGTAGCATGTAATTCCAACCCAATCTCGGACTACCTCGCCTTCGGTGCCCCAAGCATCCTGTCCGACGTAATCGGCTGCTGCATGATGGAGATATTCGGCGATTTCGACATTGATTCTGGAGTCGTCGGTGCACCCTGTTCCCTTGTTGATATGTTCTCCCCCGCCGTAAAGTATGTCTTGAACTCCACGAAGCCCTGTTTGCCGTACCAAGAAGTAGTCCCCACCATTGTAATCCGCCAGAGCGCAGCTCTTGTTCAGGGCTGGTAGATTATGAGCTTTACTTCCTGGACGGATAGCTGCCACTTGACGTCGACTAGGAACAAGGAAGCCCGTGGCCGCTAGGTCAGGGTAAAGGGAATTCGTATATGCGTTAGTAGCAAGGACGACATTCTTAACCTGCACAGCGCCTCTCGGCGTATGAACGCGCCAGACACCATCTTCCTGGACTATATCCGTAACCATGGTATTGGTCTGCAAGTTGAGGCCTTTGGCCAGGCTGAGCTCGAGCATGTGGCAGACCAGGAGATAGGGGTTTTGTGTGTATGCAGGATATGAAGTGGCACCAACAATGTCAGGGATACCGAACGCTTCTTGGGCGTCCTTCCCTTGCAGGACCTTCTGAAATGTGGCGATGCCAGCTTCTGGTCGTCGCTGACTCACTTCTTGTCGAAATCTGACAACCTCCAATGCCTTGACTAGCCCTTCTTGAGTCTTGAATAGCTCTGCTGTTTCGGTTGGCCTAAAGTCGCAGTCTATATTGTGCAACTGCACAAACTCCGCCATGGCGCGTACGTTGGCTTGTTCAAGATTATCGATCTTGATAGCTTCGTCTTCTCCGTATTTTTCCACAAGGCGGGGCAATCGGTGCCACCATCCAGCGCGGCAATGCCCGCCGTTTCGACCAGATGCACCGGATGCGGCGGTTCTTGCGTCGATCATGAGTATTGATGAAGAAGCTCTACGTTCAAGAAGCTTGTACGCAATAGTGGCTCCAGTGATACCAGACCCAACGATAATGTAGTCGACATTAGGTGGAAGATCTGGAGTAGTGCGGTGGTTGGCTATACGATGTGGAGGCAGCTGCCAATACGATTCGACTGGGTCATTAACAGGAAAGCCGGAGGTAGTCATGATGGCGTTGAGGTTTTAGATGAACTTGACGAATTTTGTCGGATCTTGGGTTCTTATAACATCCTTATCTTACGCATTTCCGGATTATAAACATAGCGATCGGGGCTAGCACGTGTTAGGCAGGTAGACACGCGGTCTTACCACGCAAGGCTTATTAGAAGATAGGAATACTATAAGTGGAAGCTAATTCGACGCGACTGTGGCGGCGTTAAGTAATTGAATCCTGATCAGCCTATTATATTTTACATCACACTAGAGTGAAGTCCTTTAGTTAGTTAAGATGTAGACGACGAGTGGCCTCGGCGTGGCCGTGTTAATTCAGTCGCAATCGAAGAAGCTTAGATTGGCGTTAAGACATAGGTTAATAAGGATGTTTATTCTAGATATAATAAGAAACCTAGTTCTATTTATAATAGGGATTAATAAATGTCTATATATAGATATAAGAGAACTTCTATTAAGTTATAAACTAGACTAGTATTAGTACTAGAACCTATAGTAAAAATAATATTTACCTAGCGGTCTTTAATAAGATAGAATACTATATTAATTAAGTAGATATAGTATATCTCAAAGATCTATAGTAATACATAGTACCTTTATTTTATTTTATATACAGTTAGTAAGGAAATATAAACTTAATCTTAGTTTCTCTTTTTTACCTACCTAATTTTCTTATTATTTACTTATTTTCTTACTAAATTATATTAAAGTACCTTTAAATTTAGTATATATATTTATTAACATAATATATAAATATATATTAAAGTAAATATAATTGATAATTATAAAACCGGTAGTGATGTATTTTAAGGTAAGATAGACTTAGTAACTTAAATATAAAGTCTTCTTTACCTTGAATAAAAATATAGAGATTTCCTTTAAAATACAAAGATATTACTATAATTAGGTTTAAATAAGAAGTCATTTAGCTATTAATAGTATTTTATAATAAAAAGAACACTATTTTTATAAATCTAAATATGAAAAAATAAAACAAAATAATATAGTTTAAGACTTAATTATAATTATTTATATTAAGCTTAGTGATATATTTAAAAAAGAAATCTAACTATTTTAATAAAATCTATACAAATATTAATAATAAAGGTCTTTATATATATAAAAAAGTAATAATATCTTAAATTTAACAAGGTTACTTACTATATTAACTATAACTTTATTTCTTAATAATATAAAAACCTCTATAAAGACTACTAGGGTTACTTTTCCTTTATACTATTCCTATATAAGCATATAATTAATTTCTACCTATTTTAATATTAAACCGGCCTAAAATACTTAGGCTAGGTATATAGTACTTAGTTGTGAATGATCTTTATGCCATGCTTTCTCTCCAGCTCAACCCTTGCACCACCTTTTCTGCTCGCTTCATGTTCATATTTCATTAGTCCCGATCGAATCAAAATATCCAGTTCAAGAACGAGAAACACTTACGTCTGAAACCCACACCTTGCTTGATGATGCGCAGGTCCTCGGGCTTTCCAAGCTCTGGGACGAGGGCACAGCACCTCTCTTTAATGCCTTGGCCAATGACTGAATCGAATTGCTCATTCGCATCACCATTGAGCCTACATCCTCCAAGAACCACGCCTCCATCTCTGCAGCGGGGGAAGACATGTGTACTGTGGCTGCCCAGGCGCTGGCTTGAGCGGAAGTACATCTTTGAGATACCTGACGGTGGCGCTTCAACTAGATAGACCTGGCCCTGCAGTAGTATTTAGTATCCAATTCCGCGACGGGCAGCAACGCTATTGATGTGTACCTTTGCTGGGTATAAGTCACGGTCTTCGACGCCCTTCAACGTCAGAGATTCAAGTCCCGTGCAATTAAAAACGGCTTTAGCGGTTGGGAATCGATCTGGAATGTCCGATAGGTTGTCTATGATTGCACGTCGTATCTCAATGCCAAGTCTTGTCGCCTCAGCTTGGAGCCTATAGGTATGAGTTAGCATTACTGACGTTGGGCAATTGGCTGGTGGAATGTTACTAATCCATACCACGGCAAGTATTTCTGCACATTGATAACAAAGGTCGAGACTTCAAACCCAAACTTAGTGCCTTGCGGAAGCTCCTCTTTTAGTAGGTACTTGATCCCTCCGACGAGATCATCATACCAAATCTTGTTGGTTACTCGACTCAGAAGGTCGACATTCTCGATGTCATCCTCATAAACAGATCGCAAGTCCATTGCCTCTATACCGCATTCAGGATGAGCCTTGGCCAGTTCTTGAAACTTGAGGTATGTAACACGGTCCCATTCTTCTTGAGGGCCATTGTCCGTTGCACTAGAGATCCAGTTTCCGCCAGCCCAAGCTGATGCGTATGTGGGAGCAGAGTCCCCGGGGAGGTCTCTGGCTAGAACCAAGACATTGCTTGAAGGGTACTGTCTCTTCAGTTCAAGTGCAGTAGTCAATCCGACCACGCCAGCTCCTAGAACGATATACATTGCGAGTTAGCTTACTGGTCTTGTCAATGGGCCTGACTCTTCGATAGTAGGGCAAATTGCTACGAAATATCAAGACGCTCCGACAGATGCCCGGATACCCAGATATAAGTGTATTACTCGGAAGGACTTGGAAGTTCTAGACAACTCGTATGTCGAACCATGCTGCAGCGATGACCACTATGGAATTAGAGCTAACCGACCCAACGCTTCGGATAGCACCCTCCGAAGTCTCGGCACGGATGGGGACCTTATCTCCCCATATTTTATCTTGCGGGGTAACAGTCTCCTAGCCAAAGCTGGGAAGCCATTTTCTTTTTGTCACACGTTCCGAATGATGTCTAGTTTCGTTTTATCGTCTGATTGACCCCAGACTCTGGGTCATTCCTTGGTGGTTTGTGGGGCATCATGGGGTAAGACAAGATAAGGTAGCATGACTAGCATCCCTCGGTGAGCAGAAACCGAGACCATGATAAGCTTCACTGGCTGCTGCTAGGATGAAAAGGGGTTGGCCTAAAGTTGATTCTTTTTCGATAAAGGGCGAGTCGGACGCATCGAGAGCTTTCACTGACCAACAACTCTACTCCTGGAAAACATTCGACAAGACCTCCACAATAACCGAATCGTTCGAAAAAGAGAAGGCTAACGACCTTGGTTTGGTTGAATCCCAAACGCAAGGCGAAATGGATCAGCCTAACGAGCTGCAAAGGGACTTCAAGCCTCACCAGGTCTTTATATTCTCGATTACTTATGTAATTGGTACGGGGCTTGTTATTGGTACAGGCAGTGCCTTATCTAGAGGAGGGCCAGGCAGTTTCTTAATTATATATTATTATAGGAATTACAGTTTTCTTCGTTATGACTGCTATTAGAGAGATGGTAACTTTCCTTTCTATGAATAAGGGATTTAGAGGTTACGCGATGCGTATGGTTGATCCGGCTCTTGGGTAAGTGATGGTCTCTGCTGTGGTAACTTATGCACTGACCGACTATAGTTTCGCGACTGGCTGGAACTACTTCTTTAAGTACATTATAGCCATAACGACTAATCTTACGGCTGCTAGACTGGTTATCCGGTTCTAGAGACCAGACCTGAACGTGGCTATCTAGATTACGGTTTTCGGAATTGCTATTGTGACTATTAACGTAAGATACTTACAAACTCTAGCTATTGTCCTTCTTATATCTAATTGGCTTCTAGATTCTATACGTAAATAGTTTCGGCGAAACCGAGTTCTGGCTGGGCTTTACTAAGATCCTTATTATAATAACTTTTATAATTACTACTTTCGTAGTTACTATAGGTAGCGGTCTAAACTATAATCGATCTGGCTTTTAATACTAGTAAGGGCCTAGAGTATTTATGGAATACTTACTTAAAGGGCTAAAAGGAAGGTTCCTTAGTTTCTAGGTCTGCTATTATTAAGTATGTTTTAGGTTTACAGTACATAGGCTTAGTACCTAATAAGATATAAATACTAATAAGTAAATAAAGTATTAAAGTTATAGGTATAACCTTTAGTAAGACCCTAAACCTAAGGAAGAATATTCCTTAAGCTATTAAGTAAATATTCTAGAGAATTACCTATTTTTATATTTTTAAAGTCTTAGTTCTTAGTATAGCTATTCCTTATAATAATAAGTAGCTTATTAACGCTATAAAGTAAGTAACTAGTAGAGGTAAGAAGTCTATTAAGGGTTTATAGATCAGGTCTTTAATAACTTAATTCTAGCCGCTTCTCTTTTTATTATTATAGTTTCCTTAGGTAATGTCCCTATCTTTACCGATATTATTAATAGATACCTTTTAGTATTTACTTTAAGTGTAGTAAGTTTAGGTATACCTAGTCTCCCGGTGCCTATATACTCTTTAGCTAATATAGGTAGATATTTACTATACTTTTAGATCTCTTTATAGTCTTATTAAAGACGGTTAGGTACCTCGGCTTTTTACTAAAGTATGTAAAAACGGTAACCTAATATTCACTATTAGACTTACTTTTTTATTTATCTGTCTAGGATATATAAACGCCAGTAAGTCTTTTTTAACGGTATTTAACTATTTTATTAATCTTATAATAGTCTTTACTATTCTTAATTAGGTTACTATTCTAATTTCTTATATCCACTTCTATTAAGCTCTAAAGGTATAAAAAGTTATAGTGGCTAATCTACTTTATACTAGGTTTTTATAGCTATATAGCTTATACTTTTTATTCTTTATCTTACTTCTAGTAATTATCTTTAATAGTAAGTAACCTCTACTCTTAAAGTAATAAGACCTATCTTTAAGTATAATATTTAAGGTTATAATACTTTTATCCCTTACTTTAAGCCTAACGTATTTATCCTTAAGTACCTCGGTACCCTAATCTTCGTTTTTAATATTATATAGTAGAAGATCTTAAAGAATACAACTTATTTATCTCCTTTAGGTATGGACCTTAGTACAGGCCGACGGGAATGGGAGGAGAGGGAGAGACAGGAGGACGCGCACTGGGAAGGTGGATTTTAGAAGAGTGCTCTTAAGAAGTTCAAGCGATAGATAGCTTTACTACCTTGAGATCTAAGAGAATTGAAGGCATTAGGCACTTATTTACTAAAGTATCCTTCAAAGAAGAGAGTGGCACTGTGTCACAGTACTACCAGCCAGCCAGGTGAGTTACCTACCAAGCGGTCGTAAAAACCTTGAAACACCAAAAAGTCACCTCTACTAGGCGTACAAGGTAATCAGGATGCATCACAGCAAGGTCCAAAGATCTTTGAGGTTATCATTTCACTCATTTAGTACAATACTTAGTCGTTTCCCGAACTCAATAGCCTAAGACGATAAATAAAGCCGATGCCATGTCCAACTATAATCACTTGAGGCAGAAGTTTAGTCGCTCAATTTCTGCTTGCCACCATGCCTACTTGAAGGTGTGGTAATGAGCGTGGTGAGTAGTAGTGACCCTCGTAGAGCTTTGTAGAGTCGTGAAAGGGTTGCTTTGCCGCATTCAAGCCTCGTTCGTCCCATAATCACACCGACACCTAGCAGACAAGCTTACAAATAGAGGGAACTAGAGTTTTCTGTGGCACTCCCGTATCAGTGGCTCTGTAGCTAATTGGCTTCCAGTAAAGCCGACGGGAAGTTATTATCGACTGCCGAGGGCCGCATCCGGTATTCGGGGAGTGGTCGCCGAGCCGGGAAGTGGTCTCCGAAAATTGATCGAAGGCTGTAGCGCAGGACAGGCCATCTAGATAAAGCAAGGGTATCCAACCAGCAGAATCTAATTCGGTTCTAGACCAGACCTTAAGAGTTAATACAGCACATACTACAATCCAATGAAGATGTTCGCTTGCCAAAACAGCCTGAAGACAAGGACTGCCGCCGGGCAGCTCTGCAAGGTATGCATACATCCCCTTGTCGTATAACAAGCGCGATCCAGGATATGATTCTCCAAGCCTTTCACGTTGTCTTGAGATGGGCTTTGTAGCTGTGGTAGGACAACATCCCTCTATTCGGTGCTAAAAACGTAAATCTCCAGGCCCTTGGTGTACGACTCGTTACAAACCCTCAGGTCGTACAACTGGCTAAAAATGCAACCTTCGACAGTCTCTTTATCGATTTAGAACATTCAACACTTTCTCTTAACAATGCAGGTAGTCTATATAGTGCAGGGCTCGCTCTTAGCATAACGCCTTTTATATAAATGCCACACCAATGCGGGAATAGGTTCATCCAGAAAGTCTTAGACATAGGTGCCATAGGAATAAATCTTCCTTATATACAGAACGTAGGTAAGTAACTTATAGATATTTTAGTTTCTATTTTATGTTACGACCCTCGCGGTTACGTTATGTATACCTTATATTTTCTACTAACTACGGTTAGGCTTACCTATACTTAAGTAAGCCTTATAAAGCTTATTCCTATATATATAAAACTTACCCTATAGTTTACCCTGACTATTATAAACCTCGACAGGAAACTTACTTATATATCAGTAAATTACTATATATATATATATTTATTTAGTACTTTTATAGATATTAACTTACTAACTATTAATATAACTTTTTTACTTAAATATACCTAACCTACTTTATTTATTATTAAGAGATATAATACTTTATAACTACTTAATATAATACCCTATAGTATTTATTAATATAAACTTAATATAGACTAGTTTATCCCTTAGGAATCTAACCGTTATATATTAATAGCTTTTATTTAGTATTATACTATATTACTTTAAGTAATATTAATATAATAGCTTTAATAACCCTTAACCGACCTATTATTACTATATATAGCTAATAGGTAACTCTAGCTAAGAATATTACTTTTACTAAAGAACTTTTAGAAATACCTATAGATATTAATAAAGAAAATAAAAAAAGAGTCCTTAAAATTTACCTTACTTTTTATAAAGATAAGGTTAAAAAACTTAAATAAACTATTAAAAATATATAGAAAAACTATAATAACTTACTAAATGCCACTAAATATAACTCTAGGGACTCTTTATTTAAGATTAAAGACCTAAAGGAAAGACTTAATAAAGTTATAAACCTTACTAAGCTACTTAATTAAAATATAGATAATACTTAAAAGCTATATAAAAAATATATTAAATATACTATAGCCCTTAATATAACTAGAAAGGATTTAAAAGAAATCCTTTACCCTTACTAGCTAGATAGCTATAATAATAACTTAAATAAGCTCTAAGGATTCCTTACTAGCTTAAGAAGCTACTAGATATATTACCTAGTATAGTTTATTATTAATAAACTTTAAGTATAATATATAATAGGATTCCTAAAGGATAAAATACTATAAATAATAAAACCTATTATCTATAACTATATTAACTACCTATATTATAAATAAAAGGTAGTAATTAAGTATATCTATAAAAAATAGAAAACTTTAAAAAAGAACTTACCTATACCTTTAAAATTATTAATAAAAAACGAAAAGTAAAGGGTTAAATCTAATAGTTAACTTAAAAAAG